CGGTTGATGTTTTACGATTACAGTAATCGTGAAAGTGACAACTTCCCTGACAAAAAAATATAAAAGAAAATTAATCATGAATGATAAATTCGTGATTAAATAATAAATGAGAACTTTTAGCTTAAAAAGGATTTGAACACTGCAGAAGTTGGATTAATGAATTAATTACTTTTCTTCCATTTGCTTGAGCTGTAACACTTGGCTGTTTAAGTTCATTAAACAAGCGAAACTTCATTAATGTCATCAACTGAACAATGCATGAACAATATTCATGGCAACTTTAGAAACAAAAAAAAAATTAAATTAAATTAAAAAATTCACTTGGAGGCAATCAATGTTCTGAATTTTCGAAAAGCCAAAATATTGAAAGAGACTTTGAAGAGGACCGATATATCCTCAACGATGAAATTCATACAACGGGAATTCTCAGTTAACGACCGCTATTTCCATTCCTTTCCTTTTTTTTCAATAATTCAACTTATCTCACTAAAAGGACAAAAGTCTTTCCTTCCAATGAACAAAATCAATTGCATTATGTTTATTTGAGTAACGAATAACTCATTCACTCACTTAATGTTTATTGAAATTATTCTTATTGAGGAAAATTTGAATTTAAAATTCTTTAGACAAGGATCCCAATTATCTTCCTTTTTTTCCCTCCCCTATTCTCTTTCACTCTCTCTCTCCTGGATATATTCTGCTGTGGTTTTTTAAGGAAGGGGAAATGCAACAACTATTTGCACTAAATATTTAACAAAATATTCAACAGGTTTTTTCTTTTTTTTAGATCATCTGAAACTGTGCTTTTGTTACCACCCTGGTAGGTTGATTGGAAATCTGAAATGGCAACAAGCAGGTAGTCTTATTAATGAGAGCATCCGGAAAACGACGCACTGCCGGTTCACGAATTGGATACGTACTCGTTTATGTTTGGTATATTAATGTAGTTAACTTCCTCTTCAATAAATGTTTGACAGGTGAGCACATGTCAATGATCACAATTCATGAGGAAAGCTTTTCCCTCTTTCCCTTTATTTTCACCTGTGTCACCAACGTACAAACTTTTCTGGAAAAGGATACCCATAAAAGATGGTAATGCCCACATAGGAAACCTTTCAAAATACACTGATAAATCCTTAGTTTTTCTGTCATTTTATTGAAAAAAGAGAAGAGGGTGAAAAAGATGTCATTTAAGTTGTATTATGGGGATACAGTTTCTTGCTCAGAAATAAACCATGAATCTCGATGATTTAGATCAACAGCAGACTACGATAGGTGAAAGCTTTGGCCTACATTGCATATCGGAGTATTGTTGAGAGGATATCGAAGAACCAGATAAAACGGTCCTGTGGAGGTATAGTTCATGCATTTATTGGATTCGCATAAACTACGACAAATATAAATCTGTAGAGAAGAAATGGAATCATTATGAATTTTCTATTTAAGTAGAGAGCCGGGACCGGTCCTCGGTGGAGGACAATGATCACATGAACCAGGTTGTCCTGGCGGTCCTCGGGGTCCTGGTGGTCCATGTGGTCCTGGCAAACCGTCCACACCTTTTTCTCCCGGATCACCCGGCGGTCCTGGAGGCCCTGCTTTACCCGGCTGGCCATCTCGTCCGGGAGGTCCAGGAGGTCCTGAAATATTATTTTTATTTCTTCGCGCACATTTGAATCTGAAAGTAGACAAAGACACGGGAATATTGGCTTGTCGTGATGCTTACCTTGGGGTCCAGGAGGTCCAGGAGGTCCTGGTGGACCAGGTGGTGCACCATTTATAATCTTTCCTGGCTCTCCTGGAGGCCCCTTTTCACCCGGCAATCCTGGTGATCCTTGTGGTCCCTGAGGTCCAGGCGGTCCTGGCAAACCAGGAGCGCCATCAATTCCTGTAATAAATGATAAGACTAAATAATAAGGTAGAGATCGCTGATAACAACACTCACTGGATGAATTTACGAAATTACTTTTGTCACTTTTAGTCAAAGTCCAGGTACTGTGAAAAGGTAACCTGGAATGCCAGCATCTCCTTGAGGTCCAGGTAAACCTTTTGGTCCAGGAGGTCCAGGCGGTCCAGGAGGTCCAGGTGGACATTTCTGGCATGGTGGCTTTGGAGGTGGTCCAGGGAGCAAACTACCATCACGGCCTGGTGGTCCTGGATTACCCGGTCGACCTGGTGCTCTGAAAAATTGTCCCGTGAATAAACTTAAGCATTTGTAATTGGATGCGCCAAAACCTACTTACCTTAGTAACCAGAATAATCAAGCAGCAAACACATCACAAGCTTTGCCAAGAATAATCTACCGTAAATATCAAGCGCCACAATGGGAAATAGTATTGGAAGAAAAACCTACTTTTAAAAAAATGACTGCAACTTCTCGGACAGTTTTGAAATTAAACGGAAAAGATGTGCTACTGACCCAGGTCGTCCATCACGTCCCGGAGGACCTGGTGCTCCAGGTGACCCAATTTGACAGGTGCAGCAACTCCCACGGGTCGGTATATTTAATTCCAGTTGCGGGTGGACGTTTTTTGTAATAAACTGGCGCTTTTTACGAGGTGTTATAGTACCAGATATGGAAGACGTAATCATTTGCAACTGTACCATTTCTTTCCACATATCTCGTGAACGAGTCTGAAGAAGAATTTTGATAAAATAATTAAAAAATTCATTTTTTTCAGATTTCTTGGCATAAAATTTCATCGTTAAGTCATCTTAATTAAATTAAACAGTTGCAAAGAAAAAAGTGGCGATTCAATTTTGAAAACACGTTACTACCGAATACAATCATCAATTTGGTCCAGAAAATCAAAACAATACCGTATTTGTTCATTGATTGACTTTGATTTCATTAGTCGTTTTAAATTTTTACAAATTTCGCAAAACTAAGGAGTAACTATAAATATTTCAAGATAAAATGTGATAAAAATAATTTAATCAAACATTTGTCTAGTCGATCATTTTTACCTTACAGTAATCAACCTCATTTTGCATGAACGATTGGACACTTTGCACATGACTGTAAATGATTGGTAATGTGATCACACAGCACATCACTGATATCGTGGAAAAGGCAACGGCTGCAAAAGCAACAGGCTTCAGAGAACGTTGTTTCTGACCCGGAATATTCATTTGTAGCCGGATATCCTAAAAATTATAATTAATGAGGTGATAGATACTTATGAACAATAATGATGACAGAAACTTAGGAAACTTATAATTGATTCATTCAGGTGTTAAAGTAAAACTGCGCTCCATCAGCTAAACTCATTCCAAAAGTTGCACGGATTGCAATATCCAAACCTATTTATGTACTCACTTATGATTTGTTTATTTATTCAGTTAAATATTTATTGAAAATAAGAAAGATAAAAGTTAGCGGAAAAAATTTAGGGAAGATTAGCTACCTATTTAGTAATTAACTGTAGATGGTAATAATTACGAGAAAATGCAGATAGATTTTCTTCAATAATTCCTGAAAAGGGAAATCGATTTAACTATTTCATGTGCAGAGATGCCGATAGCTAAACCTTAGTTATATGAGTTTGTCCAAATTAGGCAATTGTAAACATTCAGGACTTTTGATCAGTACATTAATTTTATAGAACGAGGTCCACTCTAGTTATCCATTTTCTAACTTTCTCATATACTTATCCGTTCGCAACTATTTGTCCAGTGAATCTTATAATCCGATGTAATGCAAACGAACTAAACAATTCAGCAAATTACTTAGCCATGCATGTTTGTTATTGTTAGAAGAAGAAAACAACGTATTTCAGAATTGTCCAAGCTTAATAATGGACAAGAACTTCTAGTTGTTTATTCTTTCAAACAAATTACTTTTACAAAAAAGCAAGAAATATAATTAGGATTTAAATAAGAGCCTGCTGAGGTTAAAAAGATGTAAAGAAGTAACTACTAATTAAGGAATTCATGTAGTAATTAAGAATTTCAGAAAATCTTTTCTGCAAGGAATAGAATCAACAGTTGGAGTCCATAAACTGGAAGAATTAACCATTTCAAGATGCCATTACCGCTACCTCCACTAGTACTATCCATAAACATATACTTCGAATCACTATTAATCTCGAAGGATTCGTTTTACAACATTGTAGTAGGTCAACCAACGCTTTTCATTCCTATAGCGAATATCGACCTATATTTTGGGTAGAAAGATGGTGGTGTCAGGAACTGAGTAGAATGATTCCCATTGGAAATTAGGTCGTTCTTTCACAAATCATCTCGGACGTTGCATAATCATTCTCGAAAAAAAAATTACGTTTCCTCTTTTCATAAAATGATTTAATGGTACGCCAGAACTAGATGATCAGTAACTGAGCAGTGACTGATACAGGCTATCATCGGCTCATGAAAAAGGAAGTAATTTGAACTTCATTACTTAATTCACTATACAGTGCTGGCATGATTTAATTATGTTTTCATTTGCATTATCGAATCGTGGATTTGGTTATGCAGCCACACCAGACAGTATTATTTCAGTAAGTCAGCAAATCCGGTAGCATCTGATAAAGAATGCACTAGTTATCGCACCTATGACCTAATATTAGTTCCAAAGCTGTGTCTCGTCCAGTCAGATTAGACAAATAGAAAGGTGAACTGAAATTTACGATTCTAGTCATCAAACCATTCCAATTGTCCACTAGTATGGCTTTTTATTATTTCAAACGATTTCAGCTTGATCATGGCTTACATTTATTCAGAATTCCAGACTTTTCAAAATATTTTAAACTGAATTTTAAAGGTATTCCAGAGGTTGAAAAATAAGTTATGCATAACAAACACAAAGTTAAAGAGGACAATTACAATAATAAAACAAAATACGGTGAATAATCAACCATTTCTAAAACCTCACTCACAAAGAGGATTAAAAATCCTCTATGCACATCTAAATCTTCCTTATTCCATATCATTTGAAAAAAAGTTGTCTAAATCGTTCAATTTTCAGTGGAAAGTTATTGGAGAAATTGAGGTGTATGATAAAGTTTTACACTTCCTCGTCATTTTGCAAGTTGTTTCAATGCTTTTCATTTTCACAATATTGCTCAACGCGTAATGCCAACAGATCGCATAATCGCTGAAATCAAAGTTCAGAAACTTAGTCTGGAAGTGGTCGACAACGTTAAAAAGTTATTACTTGGCTTCACGGATAATGTTTAAAAGTTACCTGAACACTATATTCTTTGATACTATGCTTGCCTATGGTTGAAAACCGCTTATATTATGATTTATATTGCTACTCCCCCATCCATTTCATGGCGACTACCGTTTCACTAAACAGAGCTTTTTTTTTTTTCAACGAATCAAAAATTTTGGAAAAAGGAGTGAAAAAAAATATGTGAAATTTTTTGAATTCCACACAGATACCATACCTTTGACATATTGTCATATCGCATAATAGTTTTTTCGCCCAATTCTTCATTTGTATTAATCGAAAATTCATCACTTTCATCATAATGCTTACAAGCAATATAAACGAGAACGATCTGATGACGTGGTCTTACATCGCGCAGAATATTAACGAAATCATCATTCAGTTTCTATAAGGAATAATAAGTCATTCTAATACTTCAAAAGTTTCTAAAGGATCCTTCTTCCTGCAGCTATCCTGATTTTATAGGAACAGACAACAAAAAAGTACCTCAAATCCCATTACCCTTTGTCATGATACAACTGAGATTATTAATGAAGTTGATACCAAATGAAAGGATTCTTTTGAAATGCTCACTTTCTGGAAATAAAGAACGGCAGCAACAAAGAGAGGAATTTGTATTTTATTTTTCGCATTCATCGAAATTGCACGAAAGTGCTCAACATCATTTCGTTCAAAAGCCGAAAAAAGGTGTCCATAAATCGAACATTCCAGCAGTAATTTGTCTGCAATTTTTTCTGTAACTTTTCTGAGAAATGGTACAACCAAAATTATTCATTTGTCTTAATTTATTAACAAAAATTTAGGAAAATGTAAGGAAAAATAAAATTTGCATTGTAAGGAAAAATGTAAGGAAAAATATGTAAGAAAAAATAAAAATTTGCATTCGAAAACCAAAGAGTAATCAGGTATTTAAGCGAAGTTGAGATACTACAGCTCGAACTATGAATAACAAAAATTAACTTGATTTATAATCGAAGGCCAGAAGGTTAACAAAATAAACTTATTCTGACCTCAGTTGCCAATTATTTCAGTTTTAATCTCATTAAGTCCTTGTTTTCAACTTATTTTAATCTTACCATATGCAATTATTTAAATCTAATCTCACAACCATGAAAACTCAGAGTTTTGACTTTTTCCTAAACTCATAAACATACTGAAATTACAGTCATATAATACCCTTAATACAAAGTGAAGTAAGACTTGTCACCTGATCACCACTAAGGAAAACTAGTCGAACTTGAATTGTCAATAAAAGTTGATGGACAAACCATAGATCTCGGCTGTAGTCGATGAATACAAAACAGACAAATTTCGAATTGCATCTACCTTTTCCAACAAATATTGATTCCCACTTTAACAAAAATAAAAATTACAAATAAAACCGCAAAAACCTTCGTTGACTTTCGAAAGGTAAATAATGCACGATAAAAAAGCACTTGATATTTGTTTTGTTATTTAAACATTACTTTTGGAGGACAAAAAAAAAACGCTAGAAATACTTCCCATAATATAACTGTGTTTCAATATTTAGAAATCATATAAAAGCTTGTGATATTTTGCGGAAATAGTAGAAGTTAGAATGGAGATGAAATTTCAAGAGATTTTTGTTGATACCGCTAAAAATCTTACCTTCGTAATGCTATTCGTTGTTTATGCAACTTGCAAATATCTTCATTTGGCCAGTCATGACAACAACTGATATAATGCATCGCATAATCCATATACCAGAAATGCTCAGCCAATAAACTTACGAAGAAAATAAATTCATCTGTGCGCTCACTTACTCCTGAAGGTAATTCCATAAAATAGGGAATTTACTGAATACTATTTCCCTCAATTCAAGTTCTTAGAAGAGAAAAGGTTTAAAAAAATTTGAAAAATGAACCGAAAAACACAGCACAACTTTCCAATTAAGATATCACAAAATAGATGTCAGTGTTTCGAAAAGTTTGTATTATGAGCTACTTAAAAACAAACCAATAATTTCATGGATGGATTCAAAATCGAACATTGTTGCATCATCAAACTGTTTACCTTCTGCTAAATTTTTCATAAGATAATATGTATACTTTTTCACCGCCAGCTCCTTCAATAAACAAATATTTGGATTTGTATAAAAAATAATGTGAAATGAAGCACTTCTAATTTTCAAGAAGTGAGGAGAAAATTGACCTTCGATGAGTAGCTTCGAAGATAAATCTTACGTCAAATTTACATAAAGTATGCTTGAAATCAGAAAGTAAACTAACAGTAGGCCTCAGAGTTAACGAATGTCTATATAAATCCATCGTATCATAATGATTTTCTGCTTCTGCCATTGTCGCCTACAATGAATTATCCAACAAAATGATGATATATCTGTTTTTGAGGGATTTGATTTCATTTATTATTGCTTCATGTCATGATCTCTGTTATCGCCGAAATATATCATCTCATTCTAAGAATATAAAACTCTTGGAGATAAATTATTGATTGTTTCCCGCAAAATAATGGGTGCAAAGCTTAGAAGAATACCATAAAGTACTTACCAAAACACACCAAATTTCAGCTGATTCGGGGTTGATTTTTTGAGCCATATTCAGAGTCCGTCGTGCTAAATCATACTGGAAATAATGCATGCTCAAAATACAATTTCATGTACAAATCTCTTGTATTAAAAAATTATTTTAAATATAATATGTATAACTAAACGTTTTCTATTTCTAAAAAGCAACATACAGGTTTTTCCTCCTTATAGAAGGCTCCAGTCCTTCCGTCTTCGCTCAAAAATAGGCTTTTTATCCTCATTGCATAAAAATTGAAAAGTTTCGAATGATACATACCTGAGTGAACTTTAGATACAATAAGCCAAGCAAAAACCAAGCAGTATCGTTTCTTATGTTTAGCTGTATGGCTCGTATAAGACAATGCTGTACCGTTAAAGCATTCCCTATGAACCCAACCGCTTCCGAAAGATTTGTCCAGTACGTCGATTTCATTGTTTTCGATGAGCAAAGTTTTATGGCACGTTTAAAACACTCGACAAGGCTGAATATACTAGATTAAAATCCGTGTGGAAAATTTCATCTTACAGTAGTTTCTCAGCAAATGGCATATGAATGTTGTGGCTGGAATTGTCAACTTCGGTTTCTAGTCAAAGCCACCAGTTAAACAAACTACTCGTTTTATTTAAGTCAAGAAGACGCAAAAGATGAAAGGAGCATGGCGTTCAATTCAAACATAAATGACTACGACCGCTTGATAATGAAGGATGTGAAGCAAATTTCACTGAAAAATTACAAAGCGTTCTCCTTCAGCGAAAAAGAAATCACCTATGTTCATGATAAACAATGAATCAGAAAAAACCGAAATTTAGCTTAGTTCATGAACTTGTGATGAATTTTCATCGATTTTTTTTCCAAGTTTTTCATACTAACTGCAACTATTCATTTCAAACGCAACATCATAAATCACTTAAAACGATAAATATTATCGAAATAAGTAGACAAATGAACATGCTTACTTTGCATATCCAAAGTTATCTTCTGTTAGTTGGCATTTCCGTAGCAAGGCAACACCCAAATCATTCCAGGCACTAGCCCAGTCCGGATGTGTTTTTACCATGAAATAACAGAAATGAATAGCTAATTCAACTGCATCCAATACTGATCCGATTTTCCAAGTGCTGGGGAATCCGAAATATTGGAAAGTATCAGCGTGATATCTAGATGCTAACAAAAGCGCGTCAGCAGCAAATTTGAAGGATAATACAAATCCTGGATTCTGATCGAAAACTTTTTCAACCAAGCCGAAAAATTTATTTAGAAGGTCAAACTGCAAGGAGTATGCCGACTTTTGAGCTAATTTCAGGATGGATTCGGCATATAACAGATAGACACAATTTGTACCACTTCGGCCACTTTCAACACGTCTTATCAACTTCATACATTGTTCCATTGCTTCCTCCAATTGACCGGTAACTTGGCACATTTGAATAAACTAGAAAAAGTTAGGATTATTAATAATGACCGTGGTATTATCTTTACTTATCAAATTCCATCAGTGTTGTTGCCTACCCACTTTTCAGAAAATTATAGATAGTAGAAATTTGAAAACTAGATATTGTAGCAAAAAATTGCTTTGCGATTGAAAGGAATATTGATTTAAAGGAACCGTGCTACGGTAAAGTTACCCACACGTTCCCAACAAAATGTTTTTCTTCTGGTACTTCAAGTAACAAAAAGATACTTAACAGACGCGCCAGCAGTAAAATGTCGAACGCATATAAGTAATTTGAACTGTCAGCAAAAAAATCGAAATAAGTTTTGAGAAATAAAAAAAAGAAAAAAACTGTTGCATTCAGAAACAATGAACCTAGAATCATTATCGGTGGGGAAAAATTCTTGCTAACCCGAATTTGAGCAATTTCATTGTCCGGTTCAAGATCTATTGCTTCCTTGAAAGCTTTGATAGCACTGTGGTAGTTCCCACGTTTTTTATATGCATCCCCTAGTGTAGTCCAGATCCCAGCATCTGTCTTATCAAGTGCAACAATGTGCTGCATTTGATCAATTGCTGCATCCATCTATAAAATTCAATGAGATTTTCACAAACAAACAACAATTAAATTTTTAAAGGCAAACAGAAATAATGACGGCTCCATTGATATTTCTCACAATCTGATTTTAAAACTCAAACACAAGATCGACCAGGTAATCAGATCATTACATTTTCTGTAATATAGAACTAACTCGAGGTTTCAATATGGGATTCATGAAAATCGTCGTTTAACCGTTCATTTTGATCTAGCCACCCTCATGCAAGCAATAGATCAAAAAATCTCATTCGTTAAAAATTTTAATACCATGTAATTGCAGAACTTGATGAACGAAAGTGGAATAAAGAATAAAACTTACATTTCCACTTTGAAGCTCCAATAATGCCAACCTTTTCCGTGCCCAAAGATCTTTAGGTACTATTTTCGAATATTGTAATAAATATTTAAACAGATCTTCATTGCGACCTTCCAAGCTGAGCAGTTCGTCTAATAGCTTCGCAACCTTTCAAAAGAAACAAAATAACAATAAATGCTCATTAGATGTTGAGTACTTAAAAACAGGAAGACTCAAAAAGAATTGGAATCAGAGAACAGAACATATCTTCAGACATTCCTTTCTGGCAGAAAAGAGAAACGCTATTGATGCTACTTGAAAATATTCGGCTTTATCCTCTTTAAATTAAATACATTATATAGAAAATTACAAGTGAATCCTTAAATTTAAGTTCGTTAGTTGTACCTTGGCATCTTGCGGACGAATTTTTGCTGCTCGTTCCAAACAAGCTATAGCTTTGATTCGATTTTTCGTCTTCAGACTTAATCCCAAAAAATAAAAAGCTTTGCTACTATATGGATTTAGTTTGGCTACCTGCAAATGAAATTTGAATTATTTGTTATACGACAATAAGGAGCAAATGGTAATTTAAATAAACAAATCAAATTTAGATAAAATTGAAACATAACCCCAACAATTTTAATCATTTAATTAAGAAAACATGCAGGACAAGAAGTACTAAAACTTTGGAGAATTTTTCTTGAAAATTATCATAGTAAGTTAAATAATTTCATGCTTATTTAGAAGCAAAAAGTTTGTAGGCCTGCTTGTAAATCATGGAGCAATTCAGAGGGGAATGGCACTGCTTTATAGACTCTTAGATTTTGAGAGTTATCATTCTGATCTAAAAAAAAAATGAAAAAAAAAAACCTTCACAAAAGCAGATGTAGCAAAGGCATCTTCGGTATTCAATTTCAAACAAATTTCGCCAAGAACCAATAGCCATTGCCACGATTTCGGATTAATTTTTACAGCATTTTCCGCTAAAGATCTCGCTTCTGAAATAATCAATATTGAATTGATTCCAACAGCTACTTTGATAAAAACAAATAAAGAAGAAATAAATATTATTACAAAAAAATCATTGAAACTCCTCAAGTACCTCAGAAATCTCAGAAAGCGCTACCCGAACACTTTACTGCGGTGTGAAAATGGCAGTGACTAGACAGTATAGAAATATAAATGCATTTGATTTAAAAGCTTTAAGCAAGTTGTACAAACACGATGGAAGGGGAAACTACCAAAGAAGTGGTTTCAATATGAAAAAATCATTGGAAAGATGGAACAAAACAAATGAAATCATAAACTCCAGTTAGGAAACGACCACGATACGTAGCTATATCATCACCTCGAGATGTGCTATATTAAGTGATTGTTAGTTTTACTTATCCAAGCAATATTATCGATCGTTCAAATTCAAAAATCAAATCATTACCTTGTAAGGACCCTTTCGATTGAGACTTCTTCAAGATCATAGCTTTCCAATAGCTTTCCTCAACAGGATCTTCATATTTCTCTCTTTGTATTATTTCTATTTTCGACGCATCATCCATATCAGCATTTCCACATATCATCGGAAAAAATTCAAAGATAATGCACATTCAGTATGAGTTCAAAATTTTAGTTGAATCTAAATTATGCAAATGTTTAAAACCACCAAGAATTCGACCCAAATCATTACCGCAAGCTGTATGTTCCTAGATGCTTGCTTACTGCCTGAACTATTAGCCAACAGTAAACGTAATTCCGCCAACGCACTGTCATCATGAATACCGTACAATGCTTCACATCTAGCACACAAAATTTCTTCACTTAAAGCTTTAGTAATTGCGGGATGTATGCGTGGGAACGTTATATCCAGAAGAGATATGACCTGTTCATAGCGTTCTTGAAAAAGCAGCAGTGGAACAGCCAAACCGATATACGGCCTAAAAATGTACTTTGGATTTGATTTGAAAACCAAATAGTTAGCATTTAAAGTAAGGACATTAAAATTTAGAAAAGACTCATACTCACCTAGATTATCGCTGAAATAGCAAAAGCAGATATAACAGAGACTAATTAACAGCAAATCATTTGCGCTGAAATAGCAAAAGCAGATACAGAGACTAATTAACAGCAAATCATTTGCCGCAAATTATTTACCACATATCATTTACCACAAATTACTTTACTTTTTTTCTGTTTCTTCCAATTCATCCTAGCAAATACAGCCAACTTACCACTTGCATGTATTGTTTCTCAAATTTTCATCAATATTTTTGATCGATAATGACATTTCTGCCTTCTCAATATGTCCAAACAGAAGTTCGAATTCTGTTTCTCTCTCTACGGCATTTCTCAACATATCGACAATGTCAGCCGAAGGATCTACTTGACGTCGCTCCAAATAGGAGATAATAACAAAATATCGCAATAAATCAATTAGCCATTCATCATTGAGTGAAATGTATCTAACATGCCAGCTTAACACATTCCGTATTTCCTCTAGTGTCTAAACACAACCCTTATTGATTCGTGATGCAGAAGTACAGGATATAAAACAATATAATGTGCAACAGAAGTGTAAAGTTGAAAGCTCTAAAATTGAACTGCCAAAACAATAGAAGAAATTACCAACCTCTGCCCAAGAACAACGTAATACTGCACATTTCTGATGAATTTCACAGTCCAGTTTGCCATTATCAATTTTGGTTAAACACTGTTCTATCTGGAAATGAGAATTAGATGGGAATATAAAAGGAATTTTCTTACATAATCCCAGAATCCAAGAAGTTCAAAGTTGGTTGCAACAAATCTAAACATTTACCAATTTTTTCCGATCACCATCCCAGTCATCAGTGGACAGTACCATTTTTAGTGCTTCCTGACAAAATTCGACATCATCTAATCGATCGAGATTTGAAAATGCTTCATCAAATCTTTTCAATTTCAGTAAAATAAGACCCAGTTCTCTCTCATATGCATAAACTTTTTCTGGAGTCATCCTAAATAAAAACAGGCTAAGTGGTTAGAAATTTTCGAAAAAATTATGAAAATCCTCCAAGTTTTTATAAAGTAGAACAAATCTGTGAAATTTTTCTAGTGAATTTTCGATATGTAAAGCTCTAGATACAATTAAAATTCCAAAATGTTAAAAGAAAATATAAGAAAAGTTAATTAATTGCATAAATTGAACAAGTTAACATACCCAGGAATACGTAGTAGATTGCGGGTTACTATTAGGACATGTTCCAAATCAACATACTTCCCTTGTTCATAAAGTTTGTATAATCCTTGCCACGCTAAAGGCTTTTCTGCATCAAGCTCGGTTGCTTTTTTGTAATAACTAACAGCTTCCCGATCATTTCCAATCTCTCCACTTGTAACTGCTGCGAAGACGAACAGCAAATAATCAGATACATCCTGCTTCAACAGATTCTGGAACAAGTAAGCAGGAAATTATTACGCTTAAATACGAAATTACGACACTTTAAAGTGGATCACACCTGGGAAGAATGGAATACAGGGGAAAGAGAATTGTCTTTGGCTTGAAAAACCCGAAGTCAGCTAACATTTCATTAGATTTAATAAAAACCGACAGAGAAGATCCAGAAATACTAATGTATGATGCATTTATGTATTCCAACCATCGAAAATAGCACACCTCTATAATCTCCCTTGCTTTCTTGAATTCCTTGGCATCGATATGTTGACGAATGGTCTTAAGTGCAGCTTTCGTTCCCATAATTTCCACAAATAAAATGGAAATAACCAGCGCGAATCTGAAGCAGTTCACACAAACAATAGCTAAGTAAGGACTAGTTACTTGAAAAGTAACACCCACCCACCCTGTTGGCTAACAAATTTTCAACATGTTCACGTCTAAATTTCAGGCTATTATAAATTCCTTTAACGCCGAATGTAATAACGAACAATGTTGCACATATATCCCAACTAAAATTTTATACATATGAGGTATCCTAACAACAAGTGCAAGCAAACATACATCGAATTTTATGATATATCCATAACTTTAATCATATCTAAAACTGATACAAGGTCAGGACAGACATGCATGTGGAAATAAAATCATTTATCTATTTTATGTACAACATATGAACGATAAGCCTGAAGTATTTAAAACTTCGATCAAAATGGCTCTTAATTCACCAATGCTGGCAATCAAAATGGCTTTAATTCACAAATGTTGGACTGAAATGGTAGTTGCCACACGTATTCACGTGACGATTATACATACGATCCCACCACAGCAACTCACCATCCAAACACATGTCACGGCCACGATCCTGAACTTTCGAAAGTTTTATTTGTTCATATAACCAACAGTAATGCAATTACCACTTGACGAAAAAATACTCCTTCCTAGACTGTGTTTGGCTTCATTTCTTCATTACATTACGCCTAATGCAACTACCGACATATTGGAAGGCCATGTTTATAACAAAGTAAACTCAAGTTTTTTGTTCCTTTAAAACTAACTTAAATTAACCTCAATCATTTTGTGTGCAAAATAACTTCCCAGCATCGTGAAATACAAAACAAACATAGTGAAATGGGAAATGAGCCACAGTGATTTCTTGTTATTGCCGATGAACAATCAAAGTGGAAATGTTTTCTGACAAGAATCCATCAATTATGAAATAAATTTACTACTCCTCCCAAATTCTTACTATTTATTAGGAAATACTTTTACTAGTGGCATGACTGCACAAAGAGAGTCACATCTGAATAACCTCTGATGATTTATCTCACTCTTCCATTCAATCCATCCAAGTTGATTGGATTGTTGATCTTTACACATAACACCAACAAAAACCATAAAATACTCCAGAACTTTCAACGCCTACCTCAAATTGGAACATCATTCTAGCCAGAATATAGAACACGAAGATAAACGAGCCAGCGTATAGGAATACAGACCGTGGGGTGTAACGGAAAAATTCGTATTGCATTGAATTGGCTGAATACCAGCGAAAAACAGCTGGATCAATTACTACACCTTCCTACAACGTATGAGATAAAAAAAAGTTGCAAAATGGAGGAAAAATTAGAAGCTTAAATTAACATAAAAAAGTCCTCCGCAAAGTGATTCAACTTGAGTTTAAAGTGGAAAATCATGGTCAGTCTGCAGAAATCTTATGCCGTTCCTTTTTTCCTTTTTATATTGCAGGGACATGGAATGGCTGATATAAAAAGTGAGAACAACTTGAAATATTTCAAAACACGAATTACCCTGTACTTGAAAGTATGTGGGTCGTATTCTCGCCTAAGATATTCTTTTTTCAGAATTTCTTTTAAACGATATCGCCATAAGACAGCCTGAAACATATAAAAATACTAAAACCACACAAAAAACATAAAGAACAGTATTAAGCCGGATTGGAGTTGGAAAATCTGAAAATTAAGCTATCGGAATATACAATGATATGTAGCCATAAACTGTTGACAACAGAAAAATTTTAGGAGGTGATCTCTAACCTCATAATTTAAGGCCATGGAATTACAGAAGAATGTCAGCTAACTTTTCGTGAGTTTGGAAAGATTCTCAACAATTACAAGTGACCTTTTTCTCCTCATCACTTATGCCATAGTCTTCTCCAGCAATGAATTTCATTTTTCCATGAGTTTCAAAATATCCCAGCACTGGATCTTGCCACAGCTTTGTGTTTGTTGGCATCTTACGTCCTACCAGCGAGAACCGCATCTCGATTTTTCATGCACTTTCCACCTAAATTACTGGTAACAACAAACAGGTATAGTGAAAAAACTGGTATAATGAAATTTTATTAGCACAAGAACATTACCGATCAATTCTCTCACTATTCCCAGTAGACAAGACTTATTTTCCATGAAAAATGAAATGAAACTTTCCTTCCTGTAAGGTTTATCAGTAAGAGCATTCATGCTTCTAAAGAAACTTTGTGGTCCCTCGGAAACGCTTCAATGACTTCCCTGAAATGATAGCTACCAAAGCAGCGCAACCCCCCCCCCCCCCCCACATGTTACGCTGAAATTAAAAGATCCCTCCCACACGGGATCATATGAAAATTGGACAATCCCAATCGTTCGTCAAAGAACAGTCCGAGTAGTTTTCACGGTAGGTGGGTTGGTAAATGTAGTCGGCGATAGGAACTATCACAATGAGAAGAGGCCGAGAGATCGCGGCGGATAAACAGAATATTTCCTTCTCGGATAGTCCACGAGAAATCAAAGTAATAGCAATAGCTTTCTGTAAGGAAAAATATATTATTTTCCATTTCAAAAACAAATTTGTTTCGATGATTTACTCCGAAATCATCACGATCTATCGGGAAAGTGCTGTGAAAACATTGGGGAAAATATGACTTCCCTTCTCAACTTTCAGATGAATTTAGAAAAATGAACTAGGCAAGGTAGTTGCATTGCATCTGCATTTTTAGTGTGACGAAGTTACAAAAGCTTTTCTTCACTGTAAAAATTTAATTAACTCACTTTAAATGATTTTTTTCTCAGAAGATTGGGAAAGAGAACATACCTTTTAAGCGTGTCACGTCTGGCGGTACCACGATAGAACGGTCAGTTAAAAAAGGTTAACAATATGGACTTACTGCGGTTGGACAGGTGCTACAAATTTTCCTAATTTTCACCATAAACAGATTTCTGAATGAATTTTTTAATTTTTTTTACATAGAATACATAATTAGATATGTATTCTTCTCCAACACAATCCGGATTGAACTCTCTTCTATAGTATGCCTCAGATTATTCACTATTTATTAATATTTTAGTATTTGAAACCAATCCTTGTAATATTAAATGTAACTAACTGGTCAGTTAATCAGTCATTCCTTATTTTGTTACACTTCTAATCTATCCATTGGTTATGAAAACTTGGTGGTTTTTGTTACTTAATGTTAATGCCAGTTAGCAGTTTTGTCTTGGCTTATTGGCTAACTTTTATGACTCAAATTTCACTTACTATTTCCGCTTTCCCTGCTTCTCTAGTACGATTGTTTGATCCAATCTTTTTCAAATTTAAATTGTCCCATTTAAATGTATTGTTCATTGAAGAAAGCAAACATTTCATCGTGGCTACTACCAATGTCTTCACTAGCTTGCAAGGATAACATAAAGTTATGCTACTAATTCGTACACAAATACAACTCATTGTGCTGCCGTTAGACTGACATAAGTTTGTTTACTTCTGCGACTTCACTTCACTTCCTTCACTTCACTTCACTTCGTTTCGCTTCACTTCATTTTAATTCAATTCAATTCGATTCGTCTTTTTATTGTTTGCAACTTTGAGCTCAACTCTTTTGTGCAAATCTCATAGATGAGATGGCTTGTGTGGTTTACCTCCAACTTTTCCTACTTTCAATTGAATTTTAAGATTCAGCAAGCATGCTCTCTTTTGTTCGAATGTTCAAATTTGGATTGAATTCGAAAAGGGAAGGAAGTCATTAAGAATATTTAAGTAACTGTTTCAACACTGAGCATTGAATGTGTAGTTTACTGCACGCCTATTTCTTATAATATAGTGGACTTGAATAATAGCTAAAATTTACAATCCCATTATTATTTAAATTGGTTGTCTTTTTGTCACATTTGACATTTTAGAAGATATATTTGTAAATTTTTTTGCATTTTTAAACTTCTAATATTGTCATTCACTTTAACATAGCGGATAGTAATGTTAGAGCATAAAGGACATCTGCAAGAACCTTGCAAAATTCCATTTTTTAGCAGAGTTTTTTCCTTTTATTTCAAGGCTTTCTTTGTTCCTTTACTTACCTGTTTGGGTACCATTTTATTAATCCTTGACTCTTCATTTCCATACTTTTCCACATTTATTTGATTATTTAATTCAGTAATTTAAGTTTCGTCTCAAGAATTTAAATTTCTAATTTTGAAGGACATATATGCTGTCGATATGTATGGGGGGAATGTCAGAGACTCGTTAATATTTCGAATTTAAAAATTTATTTCTATTCATTCAAAAGGTAACAACGGGATTATATCGTGTGAATGAGCGTTGTTATACTATTTGTTATGAATTACACTATCATCGTTGTCATCATTTAATTACCATAGAGAAGTGTGCTGGTTGCACAGTTCATTTCATGCTTTTAACTTGGCTTTTTACTCTTCATTACTCGGATTTTGCCTCAAGTCCAAATACTGGGCGGTGTTCCCTCAGGTTACCTGGAAGAAATGTCTCCTCTTCAGTTGCTTCACTGTTTTATCTATTCCGATTGTCTGATATATTGCTAATTTCTTCGGTATCATATCAACCACTCTTACCATTACTGCTTTACTTGTCTCTTTTTTTATATCATAGCTATTTCATAGTCTACTCACGTTTCATTTCAATTTATTACCTTTTGATATAGCAAGATCAATGATTTCGATAATCTTAGCTGTGGCAGTTAAATACAATCAGAATTCTGTGCCCAAGTTTCTTATGTTCTGATGTCTCAAAGTATTTTAAACTTCCCGCCATACTTTGTTGACAGTTTTATACTCGTCAGAACTTTTACCTTTGCGATCACAAATGAGGTAGATGAAAAAGAGTCATTCCCAAATATCCCGCATCCTTATTTCACCCTTTCTCTCACAGAAATATGGACTCCAAAAGTGTGTGTATGTAATCTGTTTGTTGTATTGGATCTGTGTTACAAATCGATTTGTCTTTTCCTTTTACAGTACTCCGTTATCATCCTATCAGTTATGATTGGTCGTTTATCTCTTCAGACTCTTCTGCTCATTTTAGAATATGCCCTTTCAAAATTGTATTAACGGTCATTTTGCTATCATTTCAGTTGTTGTGGATGTGATGAATCTGTCGTTATAGATTTAAGCTATTGAAAGTTTTTTCTTTTTTAAAACCAAAATCCATATATTTCCCTCGGTGCTAGGACTAATCATTTGGTTGTATTCAGGAAGACATGGAATAGAAACAAAAGCTTATTTCATCAGACATCAGATCTGGCATATTTGTTATTTTAGGCTCGTCCTCTTGCAGGCCTATTCGACGAGCATTTTAGTATTACCCCAGTAACTCTTGTCCACATTTCCCACTGTTTCTTTTTCTTATAACGTCAATGTTCACTTTTTCGTTCAGTTTTGTAAAGTTATTTCGAAATACTTTATTCTACTCGTGTTGTCTCATATTTCACGACCTTCATTATAGCAAGTACCCGCTGGTTTGATATCTGCTTAATATGTCGTTCCTACAATTTCCCTGATGTTATCTGTTCTTGAGCATATTCTCCTCCAAACTCTTCAAATAACTCTTCCCCCTTTAAAGCATAAAGAGTTTGAGCTCGTGGTTTGCCACTGGATTGTGAGTAAAGCAGTGCAGATGCCACTTCAACTGTCATATCTCTCTTTATGACTGGGCGCTATTATGTGTCTCATTCACTTTTATTTAGCAATCTTGCTAGCTTCCCATCTACTCATTTCCGCCCACCATCTTTTTTCCTTTTTTCTGCTACTGGAAGTTCTTCCATTCCTGAATGACACCCATCTCTTCATAATACTCTCTTTAACCTGCCTTCTCCGTTCTGTAACTTCTCACCAGGTTTATTTTAATGAACTTCTACCCTTCTGACTTCTACCCTTCTCCGTTCGGTGATCGATGCTTCTGTTTGATCAGCCAATGGGTTTCGATCTTCTCTTTGATTTTCCTTCTTACTTTTTTTGTACCTCATTTCCTTACTTTGATCCGACTCATCATCTCTCTTCAGCGTCACCTAAGCCCCTTTGAACCCATCCAATTCCATACCGGAAAATACCTTAGTTCTAATAATGAAGCATCTATTTTGGCTCGTTTCTAACATCCTTCAATTAATTGATTCTCTTAGAAGTGGTATTGCCATGCTGCTTCCTTGCCATCGATATCACGGGTTGTCGGTCAGCGACTTTTTTTCTCTCAACAAAAGCCACTAAGGCTTACAACCCAGTTAACATTAAATATCCTGAAAATGGCCATGCTTCTCGCTGACTTGGGTTATGTTTATACATAAACTCCGGTTTTTCACTGTCTCCATGGGCAGCAAATTGCTCAAGACACCGAGTAGGATTACTAAACATAGGCCAGATTTAATGTCTATTGTGCTGGCAAGCTATCCAATTATCCAAAGAAAATTGATTAAGGAAGAAGTTCATTTGCACTGGATGAGTGATAATTCGTATGTAATCCAGTTGTAGAAGAAAGAATAGATTTTCTTGCATCAATATGGCATTTTTCCCTGCCAACCAAAACCGTTATTTCCCGTATTGATCCCTCTTTCATAGAATCATTCAATCCTAGCCAAGAAAAGATGGTGTTACTGGATAGGATTGTTAGTACTATTAACAACTGGTTGTTTACTTGATCAAAGAGGCGTGCAATACCTCATCGGGGTGGATTGTGGTCAGTCCCGCACTAGTGGAAATGCAAATCCACTTTCTTCCATATCCAGCTTATTATACTGCTTTCTTAACAAAATGTTCCAGGCCCTGCTTCCCTGTGAAGGCCCCTTCGTTGGGCGTAATGGATTGCCGAAAAAGTAATTCTTAATTCGGGTAAGTGCAATTACATTAAAAGAGATGTTATATTGTGATGGCCCAATTTTATCCAGTCACTGGCAAGCCTTGTAACAATCCCATCCAAACATAAGGCTCTATGACATGGCCATAAAAATATTTCCCGATGCCAAAAGGATAGCTTCAGGCAGCTTGGTGATTTCGAGTGCGCACTTTCTCAGAACGCATTCCGGATGAGCAAAGGGGAAGGGCTGGGACGCACAATAATGGAATTAAACATCTGCAAGCACTGGAGGGAACTACAATGTCCCATTGTGTGCGAATGTCAGTCATCCCTGTGTTAGCTGTTCGAAGATGGATGTAATCGGTGGACAGACATACGAATACATACACACACGCCTAGATACACACACACACACATACACACACATACATAAACACACATACACACGTACACACACACATACACATATACACACACACGCACACACACACACACATACATTTATATAATGTAGGAATGAATCGATTCTCCTTCAATTCAACTTTGCCACTTATCACATGTTGTTGACAAGTCTCGTCTTCGATTGTTTCAGAAGAACTGTTTATCACCCGTGGTTCAGCGTTTCCTTCTAAACTGCTCATAATTTGTCTTTCCAGTTTCTTCACAACACAACATTGTCGTTTTTTAGATCATTAAACTGACAAATTGTACACTGATAAGAATGATAGCACAGATAAGCACATTTGCTAACACATTCACTGATCGTTTCATTGATAAGCGATGAACTCTTAAATTGATTATCCGACAAGTCAACCTCGTAAACATTGACTTGCCTAATTTATGGAGAATTTGAGACTTCCTAATCCTGTTTAGAAATTTTTAAAACAACTGGTAGTCTCTGTGTTTAACGGCATTTCGCTGAAACTCAAAAACTGCTTGGTGACAACAGTGATATGCGATGACAATATTACCCATCAAAAATTAATTTTTCAATCAAGTCGGGATTGCCACGGAAATTTTAAATTTTATGGATGTATCGTGATGGCATCATTTTTATGCATTTTTTTTTGCAGTGAAATTCGTAAGACGGAAGAACGCATAATCTTTTGTTTTATTTTTATATGCTCGGAGAAATATCTCAAAGGACATTGTGTTTTAAGATGGATTTTTGTTCAGTTACTTGTACTTCAACTTTTATAGTTATTCCGTTTTTCAAGGCTTTTCTCTCAGTCACTTTTGACTAGTGAAGGATTCCATAGAAAGAATGGGTTTAAACACCAATAAATGGTCGTATTTTACACGATGATAAATTGTCCTTTTTCATCCTATGTTTCACTATGTGAAAGTGTAAAGTGAGTTTTGGAAAAAGAATTTGAAAAAGCTTCCCTCCGTCCTTTGATGTTGTTGACTGCGCAAATGACGGGGTTTTGAAGAGGATCTATGGTTTTTTGATGGAGAAGGCAGATACAAGACGAAGTACGCTATGGAAGAATTAGTGTAAAAAAGAGGGGAAGATAGGAGAGAGGTAATGGCAATTCTCGAGTAAAGAAGCATTTTCACAACAGAAAAAATGAGTAGGTAGAAGGAGATTGATGTTCTCAACAAATGATAGCTCAATGACCGAACACTCCCTCACCTTTACAAAAAAAAAAAGAACCATTCATTCCTCATTCTTAGATTCCTGCCTCTTTGGCCAGTATTTCAGTGGTGATTGAAATAAAGCCTCTTATATCCCTGGTTTATTTTAGAAGGAAAACTTAAAGTCATGTCTAATAATCGCCTCTCAATCTGTTGTCTTTAAAACTGGACTTGTCAAGCAAGTATCATGTTCCTGCGGCATCTTTCATTTTTATTCTGTCGTCGGTCCATTGGGAGGTAGATGTAAGGCGCTGATTGCTTTGTTATTTGAAACATTTTATTGGCAAATCGTTTGGCTTTTGAAAGCTTCATCATATTCTTTTTCCAATATTTTTAGATGAATTTCTCATCTACATTTAATGGCAATGCAAAATTTTTGTCCCCTTATCGATTGCTCCTTCACGTTTACCTTCTCATTGGCAGGATGACCTTTGCTGGTTTTTTAACGGTCATTCTTCAACTTTTCACGAACATACCCGGTTTGGAGCATCTGATTAGCTACACTGAATGTCAATCATTTCAACTTCTGAAATATTCAGCAGATTGGGCCAGTTCTATTCGGGTGTTTTAGAGTAACACAGCGCTCATGCACCTAACATTTTCTTTACTTGCTGATAAATGATAAACTGCTAATGTTTCATTAGTAAATAAAAAAAGGATTGATGCTAGTCACTTCTGGTATCCTGGTTTTCAGCTTCTGTTTTTTCTTTTGGCCTAGTTGTTTAAAACACACATCAGTTTACTTGCATATTTCATTTTCATAACTGCCTGAAGTTACTGTTTTTGTTTTTTTGAAGTTTTTTATACGGCTCATAAACAACCCCTTTTGTAGCAAGATTTTTAAAGATAGAAATAATTTGCTAATTCGAACAAAGGGTGAAAATTACTCTTTTCAAGCTACTTTTTTTTTAAAATTTCGTTTTTTTTTTGCCAGTAGTAATTTTCCTGATTTTTTTAAAAAAGTAAACATTATTAGCTGGAATTGTTTCTTATAGTTTGTGCAAAAATTTGCATCGCTTCAAAACAGGAAATTGAAATTATACCGATCAGATGGAAATTAGCAGGCGCATTCATGTTATGCCATTTCGATTAGTTTATTCTGCATCCAGGACGGAATTGATTGTTTAGAAAGGAAGAATTGAAATCATCTTAAATACATTTAGATATTTTAATTTTTGTTCCTGTTTTAAACCGGTCTTCCTTCTCTTTCCTGGAACTGGTCATATATCGATTGCAACTGTTCCAATGTGTTTCGAAAAGATCATGAAATTCGAACTGCTCTTCTTCCTGATTGCATGTCTCATATGATTTAACTAATGTCACTCTCGCAAGTAATCCTGCCATTCTATCAACCATTTGTTGTATTCTAAAATATTTGTTTCCATATGGAGAAATTTGCGTATTTCTTCATGTAGTAGAAAAGAACTGCACAAGTGATCCGGTAAATGAGCGGGGATGATACATAGCAATAGAATGGAGGAGGTAGCCCTTATCGGTACATTCTTCTCTCTTTCACTTGCTCATTTTGTGGGTGACGGCACCATACTCTCACCATTTTATAACTTTTTTAAACCCTATTTGGCGGTAGAATTCGAATTAGTTTGGTTAGGATGGGAATAGAATGGGAAAAGAGTTTTTTGGAACAAGCAATTTTGAAATTCATCATCATTTTCGAGATTCTTTCAGTTCTCAGTACCACTACCATTTAATGATTGTTTTGCAATAAGAACGAGAAATACCAAATGTTAAAGAAGAGCAGCACAGTTGTGGAGCTGTGTGGATAGTGCATTGAAAATACCGTAGAACCTCAATAATTTTTCGATTTTATTCCTTTTTTTGATCTTACAATGTTTGTTCCGGACATTACTGTCAACTAAAACTTTTCAGTTATATGACAGAATAGGATAAAACAGAGAAGAGCACTTGATAACGATAGTTTTGCAAAGAGCATCTGATAATGATATTTTCATTAAGGCAAACTTTCCACTACCCCGTAGTGTTTATTTCTTCAGTGTCACCACTTCCTTATGCTTATAATGTTGTGTCTCAGTCTGTCTTTCGTCGATAGACATCTTTTGTAAGATTGAATTCGGCTTATTGTCTCAATTAGTTAAGTAATTCAACTTGATCTAAACTTGATTTGTTAACTTTATAACTTAAACTTGAGATGTAAGGAGGGAAAGCCGACTAGAGCTGTGCAAACAGTTGCAGAGTCTTATTTGTAGTACTTTTCCAAGTAACGGATTGCATGAGAACTTTGTGAGAATAAACTTTAAAAGAATGAAGGTTAGGACATTCCCTCAGTTACATTCCAAGCAAGATGCAGTTTTTCAGAAGGTTTGGTTGGAGAGCTGTAGCTTACGAATGTCCTAAAGATTTTTCAAGTTAGCGCGCTAAAACTTGGATCTCCAATCTGTTCTCTATTTCCGTCAGGTATTGCTTTGCTGAAGGCGTTTTCAAATGTTATTTTCACCTTCGAAAATTCAAGAAGGTCACTGAATGTAAAGTCATTATTTGCAGTTCAAGTGCACTATAGAAGTGCCATCAATACAGTGTGATTATTCGTTATCAGTGCATGTCGTTACTTTTTTTTTTTTTTACACGGTTTATTGGCGCATCTTTCTTTTTATTAGATTCGAGATGTACTCATTGGATTGCTTTGAAATAGATTGAAATCAAGAGTTCCACTGCATACCTTGTTATCATTTTATGTAAAAGTTTTGTCGTACGCCTTCTTAAATTCCCAAGAAGTATAACTTCCCAATAATTTTCTTCATTTCAGTGATGTTTTTTGCTTACCTTCCCGCTATTGTCGATCTCTACTAACACTGGTGAGGTTTTTCACGAAATACTTCTCTGAATTATGTCCGGTAAGTACTATATAAATTCCACTGCGCTTTCTATTACATATGCAGTTCATCGTCCAAACTTTTGTAAAGGTTTCGCGCAAGAAGGAAGGGGAAATAGACTTAATTATGCATGAATTCGATCGAATGATAAATTGAATTATAAACATCTAAAACCTAGTAAAAAAGTTTGGTTATAAATTTCAGAAACTGCTAGTTTTTGATATGGTAGTGGTAAGTGGTAGAAATAATAAATAGTAACGTATATTCTGCTTAACTAACCCCATATTTCATCTTTTCCTACCAGTCATATTATTTGATAATTGAGTCTGTAATTTTGCTTATATCAAACTATATAAATAATGTCCAGAGCTTCATCCCTCACTTCGACAACTTTCTAGCTATAAATAACCTAACTTGACAAGTTCAAGTCATTTTTTTTACAAATTTTATGCCATTGGTCGAAACTATCTGTTCACTGGAATCTTCTCCGGTCTGCAATATATGATTTCTTTCTCCATTTCCAATTTTTTTAACAAAAGTTTCCTGAATATTTAAAAGGTCATGGCAGCGATTGTGATAAATTAGCAAACGGTTTTTAGTTTAGTCTTGTCCTCATTACGGTCTACTAAAAAAAGTAAAAAAAAGGTGATGTTGATGGTGTTTCTACTGATTATGAAGAATATTCTTCAAAAGCTTAATCAATTCTAACACAATGGAATGTTTAAGGGAAAATGGATAATGAGGAGGCATGCAAAGGGATGTCTTTTTTTGTTTCTTCAGTGGAGAAGGTTATTATGAAAAAGTGTCCAAAAGGTTTCAGAAGCTTTATCAAAGCTGAAATATTCCCGGTTTCGTCACGTGTATTCCAAAAGTGTACGGCGTAGCGAATGGTACGATACGGGGCCAGGACACGGGCTAGCAGTAGCCGCGAATCCGAAGATGATTGCACTGGCTGTCGATGTTCCTGCTGGTGGCGTTGTTCAAATTGCCAAACTTTGTCGTATGGGTCGAGGACGAATGGAACTGAGCAAAATTAAGGATCATGAAGTATGCTTGTCATTTAGAATTTGCTGTGTTTTACTGGAGTGCTCCATTTAGTGGTGGGTATTTAATCAGTGTTTATTGATTACTGAGTTTCTCTTTCCCACTTAATATTTGTTATTGCTGAGCAGATGCATTCTACAAATATGCTTTCCTATAATTTTAATAAAATTTGAATTACTGTTTATTTCAGGGTGCCGTGTGCGATGTAAAATGGAATCCTTTCAATGATAACGTTTTAGCTACCGGATCTCACGATGCCACAGTTCGAATATGGCATATCGATGATATGCTTAGAATTCGGTTATAATTTTCGCTGTCTATTTAAAATCAAAGGACGGAAGTTTGTATGATTTATTCTCTTCGTAATGCAAACTCTGCATTTTGAAGAAGGTGTCACAGAATCTATTCAGGTCTTGGTTTACAGAATTAGAAAACTCATTAATACCTTGCCGTTAGTCACTCAAAATTCATAAATGTGTGATACCGTTGTTTCGACAAACTAAATTTGAAATTCCATTAAATCATTACAAATGGAATCTATGAAAATGTGAACCTGAAGATAACATCTTCCAGTTTCACCGAAATTTAGTGACGGATTTGCTGCACAAATATTTTGAACCGATTGTGAAATGGTGCTAACAACTTAGATTGTCTAACGATAATGAAATTATTTTTTTAAACTTTTGTGGCTATCGAATTGGGATTCAGTTGCGTTGTTTAAATCAACGAATTAATTTCTATCAAATTACAGCTGTTTGCGAATATCCAGAGCACATTCTCGACGCGTTCATACAATTGAATGGCATACGACAGTTGATAATGCTGTCTTTTCGGCTTCATTAGATGGTCTAGTAGTGCTGTGGAATATTGAAACAGATAAAATTGTATACAGAATTGAAGATTGCAATGCCGCTTCATTATGCTTAAGGTTATTCATTTTTTCTAACTTTTAGAGCTTTTGGAAGCAAAGGATTACGTATTACTATGTGAGCATTTGGGTAGTTGGTATACGAGACAGGGAAGAGAACTGACTCTATAGGTGAAACAGATCCTTTGCCTCAGTTCTGAATGTACGGTTGAGAATTGAGAGAGATACTTCGCCATCATTTTTCAAATTTCTCAAGGTATTGATAAATGTCGGATCTGCCCATAATAAAGTTGTTTTGCTTAAACCTAAGTCTGGAAGTAGGATATCACTGTGCTGTGGTTTTCAGAGTTTCCCAGAAGTTATTCCAGTCCTGGAATTATGATGATAAATCTAGGCTTATAATTTCAGTTACAACTGTTCCGAATTTGTGGTGGCGACTAAATCACGCGAATTATCAATTTACGATGCACGTACGGGTGAAAAACAACGTAGCACACAGCTTATTCATGATGGAGCTATGCTTCCACGAGTTTTATTCTACGGGATGCCGGAGGCGAACAGTAGTGAACGTCTTATAACGACTGGTAGTTCACGAAGTACCCGACGACAAATAGCTATCTACAGTTCTCGTCCTTTGGACGCACCGTTAGCTGTGGTGGATATCGATGGTGGATCCGGTTTTCTTATGCCCTTGGTTGATAATGATCTCAATTTGTTGTACATTGCTGGGAAGGTAGGTTTAAACTTCAGTTTTCAACTGAATACTAATCATTTTTGTGGCATTTTATTAAAGTATTTGATTAATAGATTTGAACGTTCGATTTCACTAATGTTTTGATAATTTTTCAGGGTGATGCCAATATTCGATTTTATGAATTGTTAAAAGAAGCACCATTTATATCTTATCTGAATGAATCGTCCGGCTCCAAAGCTCATACAGCGGTATGTATACTTCCCAAACGTGGACTCAACGTATTGCAATGTGAAATTATGAGGATATTTCGGGTAGATGCTGAACAGCTGGTTATTGAGCCGTTGTCATTCTTCGTTCCGAGAAGAGTAAGTTCTAAATCCTTAAATGACTGTTTTTTTTATCTTTTGGGCACAGCGGCTACAAAATTTGATAACCAAATCCAATTATAAAATTTTTGAACTTTCTGTCGTTTTTTTTCTTCATTTCTTTATGATTGAATGTTTGCTAACTTTGAACATTTCTGAATAGATTTTGAAGTACTCATGCACTAAATAAGATGAGATATAAGAAGATATTTGCTGTAGTCACGAATATCAACAGTCAAGACGTATTTTTTTCATTTGTTTACGGAAAACAATGGCTTTTTTGTATTTTTTATTTTCCTTGGTTTGTTTTTTCGAGTCTGAGTTACAGAAATCATTTTTCAATTCTGAATTGGTTTTTTGGTCTGTTTTTTTTCTTTCTTTCAAAATGCTAGAATTGAGCATTGCGAAGACATCTTTGAATTACCAGTTTACTTTCAAATATTGCCAAAGGTGAAACTTTCCCATCATTACTCTTCCGATTTTTATCACATCTTAGCTAATGTGAGTGCCACTCTTTTAGTGGTCGTTTGTTCTTTGTTAAGCATGTACCACAATGTACCCACAATGTGGAACATGCATCGTAGTGCAATGGCTTGCGACACTGAAGCTTAATCTTATTGAAAGGTAGCGATTTGTTTGTGGTTGACTTCATAATTGATTTAAATATAGCTTCTACAATTATTATGAATTTACCTCGTATAATACTGAAAATTTATCACTGAGGTAATTTGAAAACGAATTTGCCTCTGAGATAATTTGAAAATAATTTTTCCTTTATGTTTTGTCAAAGTAATTTTTTTAGGCTGACGGATTCCAAGCCGACCTGTATCCGGCAACGCGGTCGCCAACTCCGTCATTGTCGTTTCGCGAATGGTTAGCTGGTTTAAATCGTGAACCGATCATGCTGGAGCTGAAGGATTGCCTACTGAATTGTACGAACAAACCAGTAACATTCGCCAAGGAGAGTAATAGAACTAAACTGATGATCGCCGATGTCAACAATGATCGTAAATTCCGATTTTTATCGCAGGTATCACGATTTGATATCAGAGGTAACAAATCCACAATTCCAGTTTTCAAGGTCCCTACACTAAACCCTTTGAACTGGTAATATCATTTATTCCAATAGGGCCAAGATTCTGTTTTTTTTTTAGTGGAACCAATTTTGGAGTCTTGGAATTTTGTGCTACCATAAGAGCTATAATTACCTCCCTGCGAAAGACTGTATAAATAGGCAAGGGAGATAAGCTATTGATTTTATTTTTTGTTTTATCGAATTTACTAATGCTGTTGGAAACTGAGAAAGATGTCAGATTCTTAGGCACTTCGAATCACTGAAATTGCTTTAAATTCAGCGCCGTTAATCAGTTTCTTTGCCACCTCCGCGGACTTCCAAACATTCTGAATTCTCAAGATATGTTGAAATTTGATAGACTTGTATATATTTATTAGTCCATCAAGCATTGCACAATGACCGCAGTTGGTCTCATAATGTGTAAAATCTCCTATGATACTATTGTAACCGTCATGATATTCTCAATATTTCAAAATACTTAAGCAGTGAAGGGTTTCTAAAATAGTTCTAATGTTTATTTTTTCAAATAAAAGGGAAGAAGCAGTTTTTTTGAACTAATAAGATTTCAAGTTTTTTTGACTTAAGATTTTTCCATGTGCACTTTTTAAATATGCAGAGTCATCAGGATTTTTTGATTTAATAAAAATGTTTCTGTTTTCTTAAGGTTTAGAGCTATTATTTTTCTGCTTGGTTACTAAATCGATTTTGTCATTAGGTAACAAAACCTGATTATCGCGAAATAACAGATCGAGAAGATTGTGAGGAGCTGTTGAAGATCGAAAGAATTAAAGCAAAACTGGCTGCCGAATCCGCAGATGAGGTTAACAAGGAACACATGAATAAGTATGTTTTTATCCAAGTTACGTTATTAAATTTTTGTTGCACTTTTTGTTCCTTCAACTTTATCATACTACGTGAGATTTGATGGAGTTTGTTGGTTTGTTTAGCATATGCTTGATCAGCATTTTTCTCCATGTTTTTTCTTGAGGTGTCAAATTAGAAAAAAAGTTTGATTGTTACTCATTCACGTACTCATTCATACTCATTCATCAGCATACTCATTCACGTGTTCTTTGTTTGTGAAAAAAGTTTGATCTTAAAATACTTTCAATAATTTCATTTTTAGTTCCGTTCTCCATAATTGCATGATTGGAATTTATTGAAAGGAGTGGATTTTTTATTTTTCTATTTCATGTTTTTGAAGAGAAATGGATGGAACAAATGGTGTATATATTGGAGAGAAAAATAATGAGAATGGAAGTACGCCTTTATCACTTTCATCTCCAGTCAGCGAGAAGAATGCTCCAACTACTGCAGCCGCTACCGATGTTATTGCACTAAATCACAAAAACTCGTCATCCAGTGCACGGACTGCCAGCGTTATCGACAGAAGTGCATCACTGTTTTCAATGAGTTAGTTGTTAAATTGTGCTTACTAACTTCTTAGCTTCGACTTGTATACTATTAGGCGTGACATACATTAGGCTGTGGCATCTTCATTTTCTGTCAAAATGTTGCATGCAATTTCAATTACTATCATTTTTCATTCAAATTTCCAATAACTAGGCTTCTGTTTTACACCTGTATTGACAAACATGTTGCTAATAAACTTCTGGTAGCATTAAAGGGTCAACATTCCTTAGTATTTCCTTCACTTTCTGTGAAAGAAATACTAAGGAATGTTGACCCTTTAATAGACCTGAAATCTTAGAAAGCCCTTTATTTTTTAGAATCAGGCAACGCTGACGCATCAAAGACCGGTTCGGCAAGTGTTTTTCTGGAACGCCAATCCACTAGTCGATGTGATGAATTAATAAAACAAACAGAGCAGCATAAATTCCCGATGGTGCAGAAACTGAGTAATGGGAATAGTAAACTGGAGGGGGGAGAACAGAATGAAGATAATGACAGGTATTTATCTAGAATCTTTCAGATGCTTTTTTGAAATTCTTTAGCTTTAAGTTTGTAAATTTTGTATGTTTAAACATTAGTTACCGTCTTGCGAATCGAGCCAATATGTATAAGAATTACCTGGGAGATCAGTTAGCAAGTAGATTAGTGTAAAGCTACATTAGCACAGGGAATCTGATTCTCATGATGTTTTCGAGTCAAATAACGTAGCTTATTAATCATTTCAGCAGTCGTAGCTGTTTCTCGGAAGAAGCGATGGTGAATGTTTTGAAGGAAATGGAGCGTGAATTATGGAAATGTCGAAGTAGGTGCGAACAACTGGAAAAAATTGTTCAACTGCAACAGGTCGGAATGTCTGCAAGTTCTTATATAGGTTTTGAACATATTTTTCGAATTTCAGTATCAGTGATAGTTATGTACTTGATAATTCTCTTAAACGTTATAGCTCCCAAAGAAATTATTGCATGAGCACAGCGCTGCAACCTTACATTCTTACCTTCGTTTCATTTATATCATTTTGATTGATATGCTTGTGCATCACTTCAAGCCTTAAAGTATTTTGTTAGTTCGTATTGAAATAGACCAATCAGTTACATCAGCGAATTTCCGTTAACAAATTTATAAAACCTGTTATTGCATGTATCTTATAAAATCTGTAATAATCACAAAGTTCGAAAGCCAGTAATTCATGACATATCACTTTTTCCTGACATACCACTTCTTTAAACTCACCTATTAAATCCTTGAATTTAATTTTCTTGTTCCTGAAATACTGGAAATACTGAAGAAGAGACCGAAATTTATTCTGCGACCAGTGGAAATGACGGTCGAAAAAAAAATTCCAAGTACTGCCGCTCTTAAATTTACTTCTGAAATTTCATGTTTGGTACGAATGGCGTGTCCAAAACCAGAAGCTAGTAGAAGGTGGAGGAGAGTTGGCCTAAGTGCAGTTACGTCTTCAGTTCTAGCTACAAAATAATGTTCAAGACTCTTCTTAATTCTGTTTTTCAGTGATTTTTTTTGAAGATGAATCTGTTTATTAACTATGCCAGTACTTGTCTTGAGTGGTGGAAAGTACTGTGATATCTCAAGCTCTCAGTAGGCTTTTGGATTTCGTAAACCTTGTTTTTGTAACTTAACATATCCTTTTCGTTCCATCTGTCTTATGATTCTTTTTTCCATAAAAAACTCAGAATTCAAAATCGTATTCCACATACCACTTTTGCTGTATCAAAATTTTTAAGAAGTGATTGTTATGGAGGAAAAAAAATGTGAAAAATAAAAATTGATCCGGAGTGAAGTTCTCGCTAGAATTCCTTAGTTTACTGTTTTTATTTTCTTTGATCGTTTATATATTCGATTTTCATATGCTTTTTACTTTGCTTTCACTTTTAAACTTAGTACTCACTCTTGCACTACCGATCGTCTTACTTGCGTTATCCTTACGGCATATTTTAACCACTTAATTTTTTTTTTTGTTTAACAAAAAGGTATGGCTTAATACATATTTCTCTCCTTTATCCGTTTTTTTTTCTAATTTAGAAATTTTGGACAAAATTTCCACAAAAATTCTATGGTTTTCTCCAAAAACCAAACTATCTCATTTGAACAAATTCAAGTTTTTTTTCCAGTTTCTGTAAAATTTTTGGTTGTTTTCTTGACATTCTCTATTCTCTTTTTCAGCAAGATATCGAGAGTTTACGTTATGAAATCCATTGGAAGGATAGTCGGATTGATTTCCTGCAAACTCAGTTACAGCAGTTGGATATAAACCGCGACAATTCTCGGTCTTCCTGACAAGGGTATTCAAACGCGCGTTATCACATATGATGATAGTTGGAAACATATTGTTTGATGTTATATAGAGAATGCTCGTGTGTTTTGACATACATATTTTGCAGATTTTATATAAAGTTTAAAATCGAAAGTGTTCTAAAAATATGTTTCCTTGTGTGCTGTATTGTTTTTCGTGTAAAGTGTTCATGGATATTGCTACTGCATATGGTGTATATGTACCTTTTAAATGCTAGCTTCTAGTAATGCTAACAGTACGCTTGATTGTACGTCCCTTCAATTGTATGATAGGTTACATCTAATGAATGTAAAAGAGTGTAAAATGTTAGAGGAGATCCAATCTGCAAAACTTTCTCATGGTCATATTTGCGGGTACCTCCTTTGTATCCTTGCACTAATTTTCATATATTTATTTCATATTATTTCCATCTTTATGCTTAAATTTTTCTTTTCTGTTATCCGTAAAAAAATGGCTTGTGAGAGAAGGAGCTTAATATATGTTCCGAATTTAAGGATGAAAGTGAAGAATTAAGTTGTCTTTGGGTCAGATTTGTGCTGTTTCATTTTCCAAGTTTCCGGAGCAATTTAATGATTTGGGAGAATCGTTCTTTCGGCTGGTTTGTTTTTTATTGCAATTTGTTTCAAAAACTTATTTAACTGCTTTCTTTTCGAAGAAATATTATTTGCGCATTTTCTTATGGTTTATAAGGAACTTCCTGCAAGTCTTGTATGACAATAAATTCCAAGTCTCTAAAAAATTGCACTTCCTCTCCTGACTGAACTGCACTTTCAGGCAATAAGCAAAAATGTCTGAGAAAAAATTTCCGAATAATTGGAAATTATGACAGATTTGAATCGTCTGGTAGATCGAAGACACATACGTTACAGTAGATTTTCAACTTTAAACTTTACGTTCAATATATTGTATTCCAAGCATTCCTATGGATCATCCTCGAGAATTGTTTCTTGATGGGGTGAAGTGAACCCGAGGTCTTTAAAGTTCGAAATGGCAGTAGATTTGCAAGTACTGTACTGTATGTATTCTAATTATTTGAAAAATTTTCGCTTGTGGACAGTCTAATTTGCTCCTATAAGAGATACGATGTGAGATAAAATTTTTGACAAAATTTACGAACTGCAATTAGCAACGGATGTTGAAAAGCCAACTAAACCATGGAGATCTACTTATTGAGACTGAAATTAGTTGCTGCTGTCGTAAAGCGTAAATCTTTGGTCCTCTGATAGTTGACCTGATTAGATAACTTGGTTTGTCTGGATGCGCATTAATGATAAAGACAATTTCGTGAGGAGGACAGCGTAGGTCAGTGCTGAAAGAAATCTTGTTGAAGGGTCGAAGATAAGTTAGTGAACAAAACAGAGTATTATGGGATGTGTTATGGTAATTTGATCTTAGAAGATGTTCATTTAAATAACTCTCTGATTACTTTGCTATGCAATGTCAGTTACGGAAAGATGCTAGCGAAGTATGCAAAGATTGAACAGTTCACTTCCTTCCTTATTCTCTGCCAGTATTACACTTATTTTTAATAGACAGGATTTCTTGACATTCTTCAAAATGCCAACTTCACAAAGAGAAGCAATTATCTCAGGATCCAAGAGTGAATATGGAAAAATTACATCTATTTAACTGACCATGAAGACGATTCTTTCGCTCTTATCGGAATGAGAATCTGAATCTAAAGTCTCAGATAACTTTATAATACCTTAAAAAAGACCACTGGGATATCCGATAAAGAAATTTTCACGCACCGATATGTCATGTAGTCGTACAACAACAACCGTTATTATTATTTTTCTGTCCTAGTTTACTCTCATAAATGTTGTCATCAAAATTCAACTGGACTGAATATATATTTACGTATTTACTTACGAAATTGACAGTGGAAAAGTTAAAAAAAGGTTATTAACCATTCTGAAGGATAACATGCATTTCACAGTTTTATTAAAAGCCATGAATATATGATCGCTGCATCATCAAGATGGATAATGATTTTTACAGACGATTGTTGATCTCTTCATTTAATTTCTTTCACTCTCAGAAGATTTTTAAAGTCAAAAGAGCATTGCTTTCATCCAATGAAAATGGAAATTATCGTATGCATGGATTCGGCGAAGTTAAGTTATCCTAAATTCGAAGTTACTAGGACTGCTCTCAATTTCAAATATCTTATTTCTCTCTTAAGACAAGTCCTTTGCAAATCACTCATACCACTGATATAAAAGTAGGCTCTTATAAAATTCTTTAAATTTTCCTCCAAATTTTGAGACTTTGTTATTTATGTAATACAATTCGTTCCTAACTTCGAAGAAATTTCGAGGAAATCGCATATATCAAGAAATCTAAAAAAGCTTTCTGCCATTCCGAGCAAGGTCAGGTAAAAATGCGGTCATTTTAAAGTCATAAATCTTTGCAAATAATCACCAATATCATTGATAAGATAACCTCATATTACAGCTTGTCATAATTAGACAAATGCCCAGTGAACAAGTTATTTTGACCCTAGCGTGACCGAGCGCTGTATAGAAGTGCGCGCGTAGTGTGTTCTTGCGGCGAGGGATGTCTAGACAACTATCCTCCTCATCCGGTACCTCGGCTAACCCCTGCTAATCTTATCGTCCGTATGACATCCTTCTGTCGCACGACCCATGCTGCGTATGTGGCGCTCTGTGTCTCTGTATGTGTTGTCGTACTGGACGTTCGACCAAGGATCACCAATTTATATTCGATCTCTCCGCGTCGTTGTCCACGATTTGTTTCTCTCTCTCTCTCTTTCTCTCTTAGTTTCTGATATTTTTAAATGTTTACCTTCCCTTTTGTACCGAAAGTTGAGTTTTAGAGTTAAAAAAAGTTTGAAATAAAAGGTATTTAATCCCACTTACTAATCGGTCATTGGAATTCATTTACTAAATTATTCTCAATTTCATTTTTATAACTCTAAAATTATGAAAATCCCGTCGTTACTACTTCAATGCCATGTTAATATTAAGTGCATTAGCTTTAGATGCCAACTTTTATGCCATAAGTTTTAGCCTTATTCTTTTGCTATAAAATTTTGACACTTTACTATGATTTATTCCCGTCCTCAGAAAATCGGTATTGCAAGATTTGAGAAAATATTGTTGAATACGAAAGGTTATTCGTTATCATTTTTCACTCAGAAATTTTTCATCCCGAGATAAATCTCGGTGCAAAGCATCGGAAAAAGTGGCTTTCCTCGACCTGGACATAGTAGTAATGCTGTTGGAAGGAAGAATGACCGAGGTTTCCTTTGTTGGTAAATAGCCCTTTGAAAAAAAAGAACACAAAAGCGGTCTGCTTCTCATTTGCATGTCAACTATCTCATGATCACTTAGATTCCATTGTCTCATCACAAGACCATCCTCATTCCAATCCCAAAAAAAGCATCTGCTGCTCCCCAAAAAATGAATTCAATTTTGCTATTGTTGTTGTTATTGTTGATAGGTAATGGTTCGTGGTTCGTCTTATTTACCTTTCAATAAATCTTTGACAAAGTTCCTCATAATTTCACACTGCTAAGATGCGATAATGTCTTCTCAGTAGTTTGAAACTTTGTATTCCATTACCTTGCCGACTATCGTAATATTCAATAGAGGACCTTCATCCTTTTTGTTCCCTCTCTACAACTTCAAACATTGTCACCAAATACGAGTTAGGATTTCGTCAACATTTACATATTGTCATTAATACTTAATTCTAAGCTATCAAATAGAACTCGCTGTTCAGATTTTCATACTCGATAACTTCACAACCACGGGGACACCACCCCATACTCTCCGTATCTATATGGGATGCATGGCACACTATCTTCTGAAAGATGTATGATAGTTGAAAAATATTCTTTCAATACTCTGATGATGTTATCAAATTAGCCAGGTGAAATTAAACAGAAGAGGTCATGTTTCAGGTTCACCCAAAAATTCAAATCACTTGGCCAAGTGGTATGAATCAATTACGTGAACATTTGGCTATGTCGTAGAAAATAGTAAATAATGGTTATTTAACGGGAATTGATGTTTCATTTCTAATTTTAGCAAGAGCACATTTACGAGAACAAAATTCGCATTTTTGTGCAAAAAGCATGATGAAAATCCCTTCCTAATAATTGAAATGATTTGAATTTATTTATTGCAATGGTTAATTCATATATGGAAAATACGAACTTAGTGATAAAGTAAATAGCTTTAGCGAAGGGACGTATTGATAATGACTCCTGAGGTGATAGTGGGCTGATGGTGTTAATATCATAAAATGAACACCATTTGGAACTGTAATTATGTTTGCTGGTCATGATAATGCGGATAATTGTAAAGTAAGTGCTTCCCATAATCCTCTAAGTAACCGATGAAAGTACCAATTATTATAGGGATAATAACAATAGTGTTGTAACTGTGACGATGATACTGGTGACAAGTTTGATAATTATGTTGCTGTCACGTCAATACGACAGTAATAATACAGTAACGATGGCGGGACTGTTATGATTTTAACGTGCTACGATTTAAATTGCATATTTTTGTAATTTATTGGGAAGAAATCCCGTCGTTTGGTGCCCTGTTGCATCCCATTAAAAGCCACAAACGTTTTCCACTACTAAGTAACGTAGTAAATAACGCCTTTTCTTTTAGAGATTATGCAACATTTCAGTAATTTTGATAAAATATACGTGATTTGGGAATATTTGCTTGACAAGAAGCAACTTAGATTTTGCAAAAGGTGTGAAATGTCCTTTAAACACTTTGCATCACAAATAAATTCAGGCTCACATATTATCTCTTTTCTTCTCCAAGCAGTACTTGAGCTGTCAGTTGGATTTAGAAATTGATTCTTAGAAGTAACTTCTGAGCTATTTTCTATCCTTTACTCCTTGGCTACTATATAACAAATAGTTTAGATAAAGTCCTCTAATAGTTGGCATCGTGTCTTCCCCAGGTAATTTCATGACTAGGATCTACTGCTTCTACCATCATTATTAACATCATGCAACTTTATCAATCTGTTGAATGAATAGGTGAGCAATTAAGAAAGTATTATTCCTCAGAAAAAAAAAATTCGAAAAACAGTTTGAACTCCCTTTCAAGAAAATGAAAAATGACTTTAAAAAACAGACCGTCAAAATGTGGATACTCTTTCAATCATCACTTATCTTTTTCCTTGCTTTCTCTAATTTCTAAATTCTTTTCTATTAAAAATTTTCCCATTTTTTCTTTAAAAAATTACAGTTAATATCGTAGCATTCCTTAATGAAGTTTAAAATTCATTGATTATTTGATAGAAATTTTCAACCGTTTAAAATTTGGCTTTCATAAAATTATTTCTTTTTCGCTCTTTTTTTAATCTTTTTGCTACATAAAATAAAAAGTCACGAACTATCGACGAATGATACATAATTTCTCATGCTTTCTTGTTAATGAATTCTACCAATATTTATTTGTAATTGTTGAAACCAGTCGTCTGTTCCTTCTGTAAGCAGCTGGAATCGTTCTATCGAAAAAGATATCCGGAGAGAATTCTATGAGTTCAACCCCGAAAGCATATTGTGTTAAAAGATACAGTACTAGTTTCGGTCTTGAAATATCTCTCTGAAGTCGCACAACGTTGTGACAGGCTCGATGTTGGAGCATCGTAATCAGCTGAGACTATCACTTATTTGCAAACTTATTTGATAGCTACACAATTACTTTAAAGTTGCAAAATTTTGATATGACTGACAGAAGCTTGTTTTTTCTTTTCACATTTCAAAATTGAACTACTTGGCTTTCTCAATTTGTCTAAAACTTGCAAAATATTACGTTCCTTTGTGATTTGATTTCCCGAGCTAAAAAATATTTCTACTTGACGATGGGAAAATCCTAGTGAACATTTTTGGTTCTTTCGATTGTTGTCTGAAGTGGGTAGTATCTGATATATAACCCATTTGCCTGTAATGTAAATGTCGTTGTTAAGATAAAGATCAGATGTATACAGCATGATTTTGAAGTTATTTCCAAGGCCTTTACCGCCCAATGATTGTCGAGCAGTTATAATGACAATGACAGTCTCTGCAATGACAACAACAGGAAAGGTCATTCTAGCAGTATCGAACAGTATCATTAGTGATTGCTAGCACAATTTTATTGCTGTTCATTCTTTCCCAAACCTTCCCATTCTTCGTTAACTTAATTATGTTCTTAATTCTTTTCAAATATCAAGTTTTTGAAATGATGTTCCTTTTGTTGCATTAGCACACAAAAGTATTCTTTTCTTTTTGATTAATTGCGCTTGAAATTAAAGTTAGTTTGCATCTCTTATTCCTTCCTGATTTTAACATTTAAAATTCTCCTCCTTTAAATGGAAAAAATTAAAACATTACATATTTTTTAAAGTTTATTTATTTTTTAACCCAATCTTCAGCATCCTTCTAGAGAACTCATTGTTCAAAAACACAATTTTATGAATTAAAATACCAATATTTGATGTCTGAAAGTGTTTTACAAGAACACCGAACCGATCATAATTTCAGTTGCTACACATTTCTCTGTCCACTATTGATTCTAATTTTGTTGGCAATCGTTAGGTCGTCCTATGATCCATCCTACCATCCGGAATTCCTGCTGTTCAATTATATCCGTTCCGCCCTCATTCATTCATTCCTTCCTCCTTTTTATACCTTCTCTTTTATCATATATTAAACCATGCAACCATTCTTTTCAATTTTCATAACATTGATGTAAAATACGTCTAAATACGAAAGAAGGTTGCAATGTGTAATAAAGAGAAACTTCCTATACTTTTTTGTTGTTTAAAACAAGTTTGCATTTTAGATAAAAGTACAGAATGCCTTCTCTAAAAGGTTTATTTTTGTCACATACATTGTCGCACACACACATAGATGCATGCTGCACCAGTGAACTGTAGTTTATACATTCTATCGTTAGCTACGCGCAGTTTGCAATTTTCATTTGAATTTACAGGTTTCGATCTTAAGTGAGTTAACTTTTACTGGTTAGAAGGCATCATAGACAGTGGGTAGTCCAAGTGGATTCCAAGTGCATCACAGTGTTGGGTTATCGTTTGATGATGAGTGAGAAGTAATTAGGCTAAGATAGTAAACCATTCTCATTTTGCATTTCAGCCAATTGTAATTATTTTGCTAGACTTTACAGAGTTTCCTGTAATGTACTCATAAAATAGAAGAACGAAGAGAGAAGTGGAGGCTATCTAAGTGAATTGTTATCCTTTCATATATCCATTTTCGATCGATCTTTGAGTTATAACTTTTTTTTGAAAATTAATCGCTAATGGGATGATTTGTTCAGCTGATACCAAAATATGTAGCAAATTTGAATCAGTGAAAGGAAAAAAAAATTGAGCGCAGAATTGGGATAAATGGAAATGGAAATGCGGTGAATCATTGCCGGTCCCTTAATTATCTAATGGAATCAGTTTGGAAAAATCGAATTTGGTAGCAAGATGCATTAACTTTCATTTATATTTGTTTAATTTATTTGAAAATTTGTAAGTGATGATTTGGGATTTGAAAGTGAGCATTATAAATGTTTGAAATTGGGTAGACGGAAAGAAGAAAAGAATGTATGCGATCACGTCATGCTATATGTAAATTTAGAGTGATATGATAATTGACGAGTAATATTAATAGCATCTCTGCTTCTACCACTATTATTATTACTGCTATATGGGGACTACTGTGGAAGTACTTTACGACTAAAATCTCAATATCTTCAAAGCTTAGAGTTGGAACTTAGTGTATTGTTCCCTCAATACCACATATTTCAAATCCATATAAACAGGTATTTACAAGATTTCAGCATTTAACATATTTAACAGATTTTTGATGGAATGCTTTCAAGTACAAATCCTTGTCTATCTTTAAACATGGCATCCAAATGTCTCATCTTCACTTGCGGCTCTGTAAATCTCCCGGGAACTAAACTAAGCAAGTGCTACGAGAATTCATTTAAAATATTGAATTGAAAAGAATGAAAATATGAGCCATTTGTAAAGTTAGTTGGAATTCCAAATGGATGTTGGAAGCTAAGGAGAACTTTATCGATGTATTATGACATTATTCATAGATATTTAAATATAATAATCGTTGTCACATCAATCGAACAAGTGCTTATTTACTCCTTTTGCTTAATCACTACTTAAAACAGAAATCCCTTCTTTCAGATTTCAGATCATCGTTGTATTGCTTTTCTACACAGAGAAAATCTTTCGAATCTTTCTGAATCTGCAGCTTCGTTCCCGTAACTTTGAGTGTTACCGAATGTTCATCTCATAATCAAACTTTTTAATTGAGGAACCCAATCCCCAACATCACCACAATCATCGAATTACAGCTCTGGCTCTCCTTTAGTCTGTACGATATATATGGCTTACAAGCAATGACATTTCCTTTCCACTCATTCGTTTTAGGCGATCATCCAAAATGTCCACTACATGTTATAATTATTGCTAAGGTTTAAGATCTAAGGCCTATAGCTGCATCTTCCTTTCGTTCTCACAAAATTTTCGAAGAATTTTTGATGTAGTGAATTTTGCAGTCACTGCAAGTACTTCATGATTTTCATATGTTTTGATGAATTTCAACAAATGATTTTGCAGAAATCACATTTTTTCTGATTTGTTCGTATAGATTTTACCTTACTCATCTTCCAAAACGACTTCTTGCCCTGATATATCCAATTCATCTATTAGAGTGACGAAATTTTCCAATCGAAATTTTTTTTTCCAATTTATAGGAAAAATTTTCCAATTTGTAGGATTTCTCATGTTTGCATTATGTTTCTTCAACTCCTTTCTAAATTTCATAAGATACTGTCATTATTTTTTATTCATCTAAACTCACTGTTAGTGCTATTGATGTCATTTACCATAACTGTCATCAAATTGTGACTTTCAATGATGTCATTTAAGAAACATTATTGTTAACGAAAGCAAACAGAAGAAAGTGAAAGGGAATGAAGGGAAACCAGCAATGACAGCGATAGGTTGATTGATTTCATTTGCATTAATATCAGGTCATTTCAATGAATTATTCAATCATTTTGTAGCTTATCGTAAAACAGACGTGTAATTGAATTAAACATCTCTTTGAAGTCATTTCAATAACTTCCTTCCTTCATTTTCCTGTTACATCGTTCCTTTACAACATTTGCTTTTGGATTTCCCGAGAGTGATACTAGATTGTTTCCTCTTAGTACAAATCTTCTTCATCTAGTCTTGTCTCCATGCTATTATTGGTTAGTCTTTTTTCTTTTCATATTAGTAAATTTTAATTCCATTTAAACGCTCTTCTCCCTGTCTTTTGAATACTTTTAGGACATTGGAAACTTTAACATGTCCTTCAGATAGTAAGGATTTAAATTCTTAAAATATCAGGCATGCAGATTTTTAATGCTCTTTAGGGGGGTACTTGCTTTGATTGGTCATCTATGTGACAAGTTTTACTGCCAGTTTCACTCATTTACCGATTATTTTTGTGATTTAATCCTCCCTATCAATGTGATTGATAATATTTTGAAAATAGTTATTGTTGTTTGGTAATAATTTTGCAAATATAATTCGTTAAATCAGTTATTATCGGCAAATTTTTTAAGATATCAGTATAACCATTTGCACTATTTGCGATTTTCAATCTCTTGACCATTTCATTGATGCTATGAATGAGTAGTTGTCACCATTTTCAATCATATGGTCAGAATTTAATCCTGTCCCATTTAATGTCACTTCTTAATTAGTGTGGACAGTTGCGGATGTTTTTATAAATGAGTAAAGAGTGAGATGCATAATTTTTGAGAAGACCAGAAATGATTAATATGATTTGTTTCATACCAAAAATGTTTCATATCGTGTCTGATTTAAAGCAAAAGCTTAAAACTCATTCCATCTAAATTCAACTTTTCTCCTATTTCAACTTCCCAATTTCTTGCATTATATTTGTCCCGAATTTTTAGTTTCCAATGCAATTCTTTCCAACTTTAATGGCATTGTTGCTGTTACTCGTTAATGAGCCAAATTTGAAGGGTTGTTCAGTGAGTGATACGAGAAAGTGAAATTGATGGAAAATAATTAGTTTTTCACTGTGCGCGGAAATTCCACAAAACCTAATGGAAATAGTGTAAAATTGTTTATTCTCACTAAACATTTGCTAATAACAAAGTCGCTTAAATAACGAAGACAGGTTAGAATATACCTGAACCCAGCGACACTTCTGTCACTTGTCCTTTAATTTATATTCCTTGTAAAATGAATGATTTTATAAGTTCTGTTCAGTTTTAATTCTTGCATCAGTGATGACTGATGAGAATTACATTTATTTGACTGATTTCCATACTGATCCAAAAATTTTCCCATTTGAATGGTTTACAAGGTTACCTCCAAAGTAATGCAAATGCAAAAGTCAATTAGAGGAAGCAAGAAGATGAAGAAAGATCAATTTTCTGGCTCAGAATGAAGCTTCATTAATTCAACAAATCTATGGTGAAACTAAAAGTCAGCGAAATCATTATCTCAATATATTGGATCAGGAATAATGAACAATTTCTTTTTTTTTTTTTTTTGTCTCTGACTTTGGCTAAAGCTGCTGGTAGCGTTTTTAACTGATCATTTTCTTGGCCTGCAGACATTGTCAAATATATCATAAACTTGGTTCCCAATTTAGGATTTACGATCACCAAGGCAAGCTGTGCTATCGATGCCACGAAAAAGATATATATGTATTTTCAACTTTTTGTTTTTCGGTGTATTTTCCTGAAAAGCTAGGAAAATACCTCGGGGAATTGTAGAGACTCTTCTTTCAATTCTTTCATCCTTCAAATTTCTAATCTCTTTCCTCTTTTTGGCCTATTTGCTCTCGTATCTCACTTGTTTCCCTTTCATTTTGTCTATTATTCAAACTCTAAATTTAAATTTTGAATTTTCAAGACCGTGATTTGCTTGGCATTTTCAAGTTTGGAAGCAAAAATTGCCTGACAACTCAGAAGTCAGGTATTAACTATATATCTGATTATCTATGCTCATCATCGACTTACTAAACTTTGATTTTCACTGTATTGGTACTTTCAAAGTTTAAGCCATGACCTTAAAATACTTCGAATTATTGTGCTGCTAATTTTTTCACCATGGTAAGCTTTCATTTTTTTCTTTTTTCATTGCTTATTAAGCATGAAATCAATGTCGGATGTGAAGATCCGGTTGAAAATTTTATTTTGAATTTGGAAATTTCAAAATGAATCTGTTAAATTTTAGATTTTTCTGCCACACTTCAGATAATTGAGCCAAAATTGCCCAGAAAAATTGTTCTCATCGAAATAATAATTTCATTTCTTTTTTTGTGAAAACTTTTAGAAACCATTAAGTACTGCAAAATTTAATACAATGAATGCTAATTTTGCGTGGTAAAGTGGTCGAATAAGATCCATTTTTAGGTGTAATAGTGAAAGTGTGAAACAGTTGTTGTTGGCTCTAGTTTCAAGTCACCAAAATGTAGTTAAACGATAAGTATTGTTGCTGCGATTCTTTTTGTCCTAAACTTTACCTCTCAGTTTTTATGATTTTCTTCCGTATCTGTTGGAGACTTTTAGGAGATTAGCCGGTCGTCAGGAAAGCAAATGCTACGGAATGGTGAGATTGAAGTAAATTTTTAAACACGATGGAATTATTACTTTCTTTCATTTTGATGGTTTCATACTTCAGCTTTACTCAATTTGTGTCGTGACATTTTAAATTTCTAATTTGAAGTCAGTTAATTAAAATTTGCACTATTTATGATTTTTGTTTGAAAGATTAATTTTCCTCAAAAACGACGACTGTTACTGTGTTATTGTCTGTCAACTTCAAAAGGATTTGTTATTTGATCGATAATTTCTTTTTTCATACTTCTAGGAAAATTCAAGCAAGTAGTTGCAGGCGAAGAAACAATACTACAGATGTGGGAAGGTCGACCAATCGACAGTATCAACGGTTGGCCGATATTTGAGAATGGTGCAAGTAGCACTGGAATTTCCATGTCCACATCGATGGTAATGAATTGCAGCTCACCGAAATTGTCCAGCAAAGAAAATCATACGAATTCATTACAACATCCACGATACAGTGAGCGTAATAAGGTATCCCACTTATCGGATGAAATGTCAGACCAGGTAATATCATGCAACTCATTGATAGTTTAGATTTTCTGACATAAACGGAGCAGTCTACAATTTCTTTCTTCCCTTAAATTTTTGCTTTTTTTTTTACAGTTAAATTTACATTGTTAGAAATCTTATTATGATCAATCATTTGCCACTTTCTCAGCAAAATAAGTTAAACCTATTTACATATGTAGTTGTATAATATTTAATTACTTTATATCATCTGCTGACAATTGCCACATTACTCGTCGTAAATAAAAAAAAAAAGAAAAAAAACGGTAAAATAGATGTTTTATATACTGGAAAATTTGTTTACCGAAGGAATATTTAATTATTCATATATCATGAATGATAGGAACTTAGCTGAATCTTTGATGATATTCGAATTAGGTTCAAATTTTTAAATATTTTTCAAGAAAACTGGTTACAGCTTTTCCAATCCCTGTAATTTCAGTTCTTCTTTTGTTCACTTTTGGCAGATTTATTGAAACTGGCGAAGGGGCAAAGAAAAATATCTTGCAGAGATGAATAATCTCTCTCTTCAACAAACTGAATAAATTTAACCGTTAAATTGAAATAACGATATCCAATATATCAACTTTCATTTATTCCTAGCATCTCTGCGAAATCTTCATTTCCTTCTAAACTTCTTGACTTATTTTTTTTTTTCTACATATATTTCTAAGAATTTAAGAAGTGCTACACTTTATCAAACTATTTTGCAAAAGTTTGCGAACAGATATTCAATCTTTTGCTTAATAAGGGGATATTAATGCATTTCCAACAAAGTCTATATTTGAATAGTTAAAATTTCTAATAAATACAATGGGACTTGTGCGGAGTAATTTGCAAAATGGAGGTGTTACAAAATTTCCAAATTCAACTGATGTCTTTTCGTTGAAGATAAAAAAAGGATTAAGTGAAAATTGCGATATACTTTAGAAAATGCCATATTTGTGTAAAAAAAAAGGAGAAAAAAAACCTTTCTGATTGTTACTTTTGAAAAACTCGATTTCATCTTCAACTTAAAATGCACATAATGCTCCTTTCTGCATTATCATATAAAATATCTAATAGTTAAACAAACATTGTGGCAAACTTTTACCTGAAAACGAACACCAAGAATAGCCAATTGAAACATAAAAATGTATCGGAATTTTTATCCTTATAAACCTAATCTTTTCAAGACATTATGGACAGAAATGGTTAAGTTATGGCATATAATCGAATCGTGACAAAAGAACAAACAAACAAATAAATAAATAGGACATCTCTAGCGCTATACTATTGGAGCAAATAAAACAATGTTATCGCAATTGCTACTGCGATATCAATCCACCGGAAACACCAAGAAATAATACGGATATCTAAAAGTGAAAGGGATATGGCAAATGTTAATCATCGATTATTTTGGCATGTCATTATGTTAAAAAATTGGGAGAACAAGATATTTTTATATGTCATGAATCAAATCACCAAGCTCGTAATCCTTGGGAATAATTTCCAGTTAAAAATATTGCTTATGAAGTAATTTCTTGTTAAGGAAGCAAAAGCTTCCTGCTTAAATAATACTTCCAACTTCATTTATAATTTAATTTATCAATTACAATTCTCCATTTAACAGAATTGTGATAAAGATTAAGATAGAGATAAAAATGAATCCAAATTAAATGTTCGCTGAGGTTAACTCTCGATATTATAGATGTCGGAATTTATCAGAATGGATGAGAGGAGAAGAAATGTTAGCACTTCTCTAAAAATGCTTCGTATCCTAAAGCATTCAATCAATGTACATTTCCAAAACTGCTTTTTCCACTCCTCTGTTTCTAATCGAGTGAAGGGATCTATTTTACAACAGGATATTTCCTTAAAATGAGAATTGATACGAAGTTGTTGAAATTCATTTCCCTGTTTCAGGGTGCAACTACTGGCTCAAGTTCGAGCGTCAGTTGGCAGCTTCTTTCCGTTACTCTTCATCGGGTTAGTTCGTTCAATTGATACACAACTGTTTACTACTACTAACTACTACTACCATTTTATTTTCACCAATTCTCTTCTCTTCTCTTACCTTCCTGTCTAGTTTATTCCATCTTCCAATTCAGTAACTGTAATCAAAACGTTTATATTAAAACATTCAGTCTTATTTTAATGTTTTTTGCTTGCTATCAATACATAGACATTAGTTTCATTTAGCTTGAAACAACTCCAAATATTTAAATAAATTGAGCTAAATTAATTAAATTTTCAATCCAGTATCTAATTAGTACTATGCCAGGTAGACTTATTTTTTATCCACTGTTCATGTACTTTATCTATCACTGGTTCAACATCTCTTATTCAATCTTTTTTGCTCTCTTATCTAATTTTCGTATTCAATAACCATTTCATTTGAATATCAGTTTAGGGAATAACAGTGATGCTATTATATTTGCTAGCAGGCAAACGTTGATTAAACGCGACTTTCACATCTTATCATATCAGGAAGTAAATGGACTGATTGATTTAGTGTTGTTTAAAAAAATGAATGACTATAGATTTTGATTAAAATTTCCAAAGAATTTCCATGTAAAACCGTTTTCATTTCATTTTGTTTTTTTTTTTTTTTTTTGCATCTTTGCTTGAAAGAAATGAATTACTAAAGCAAATATATTGATTTCTATTAAACCAATATGATTTACTTTCTTGAGTAAATTGTAGATGATAGCATTAAAAGGATAATACGTTAATATCCGTTACAGATACGGAGTCCTCTTTGTTTTTCTTTTTTCTTTTTTAAAATTTCCTGCTAATATTGATTTCTGAACAGTTCATGGCGATTTTAATAATACTCGAGACATATTTGAAAATGAATTAGAGCTGCCTTTTAGATTTGTCAGAAGGATTTACGAGTGTATTTTATGAATTCATAGCTTAATAAAAGGATTTGTGGATTCAGAAGTCTCATATCAGAAATTTCCAAACTCCCATCACTGTCGAAATTGAATCCGCTTTCTTTTTTTAGACAGGTTAGGGATAGTTTCATGAGCGTTGTTACTAGGATTGTTAGGATGAAGGAAGAGGACATAAATCGATATACTCTAAAGTCTAGTCATAGTAATGCTACTATGAGTAATGATAGTAGAATGGATGATAGTAGTAGTAGTATCATTGTCTTCCATTTCGAAACCAATTTCGGATACTGAAGTAGGAAGGAAGGAGGAATTGGCTTCTTTCATTCATCTTTCTTCAAGCTCACCCAAAAGCGCCTCTTCCATCTACCATCTATCTCGTTTGTTTGAATATAAGCTTAAAAAAAAAAAATTTTAATGCACCGTTGTCCATTCTTTCAACCATTTCAATTATTAATATTTGATGCAGACTGAATACAGTCAGAGAATGAATGACCCGTCCATTTTGCGTCCGCTGCTGTTTCATGTAACGATTATTTTTCTTTCCTTTTATCCTTGATTGTTAATAGTGATAATATCATTTGTGTAACACTCAGAGATTTCGGTTTTTACGATTAGACTTAGTTAACATATTCATATAGATAAAATAGCTTTTTCACTCTTTGACATGTCAATTATTGGGGTGCTTAAGTTGAATTTCCCTCAAGACTCTCAATTTATGAAATGAAGTATTTGAAACTATAAGTCAAAAAAGTATCGTTTAAAAATGTTTTCTGAGGACAATGTTTAAAAACCCTTTTAGGGTGAATTTAGTTATTTTCAAAGTCTTTCTCTCTTTTTCTTTTTAAATCGAACTTAAATTTCAGTTTGCTGCTAATTATTTGTGATAAAGCTATTTTGAAATGAATTGAGACTAGGATCAGCGATAGAGAGAGTGTGAGGAAAGCGATTTTAAATTGCAGTCGATTTTCTCTCCCATTCCATTTCAGAGTGATTGAGAGCAATTGCTGATAAGTCTGTTAAATCAAACTCCAAAAACTGGAACTTTGCTGCTTTTTTAGAAAATGCAGTAAGGCCTATTTTCTCGGAAACTTGTTACTACAATGATACCTATCGTAGTTTCTTTATTTCTTTCTCTCTAAAGTTTCAATTGTCTCTCAGTTATTTCTTTTACAAAATTAATATCAAATTGATAAATTGAAAAAGATTTTCCATTGCATATTACTGAAAAGTTGGAAATCATTTAAGATCTTTAAATTTAAATATTCTCTCCATTCTTCTGCAATAGTACTATCTTTTCACTGTTTACTTTGTCTAATTTCTCATAAATTCGTCACTTCAACTACTCAAAAGTGTGAGAAGACATGTTCCATATCTATACAGACACATACACATACATACACACACACACACACACACATACACACATATATATATATATACATATGCACAGAGAGACAGACAGACACAGGTATATATTGTGTCTGCACAATAATTGCCAACATTAACGACAACCTTTATGGTGTTCATTTCGCATCAGTTCGTGGCGCAAATTTTTGCAGGCAAATGCAAATTCGTATTTAGCATCTATTGATTTGTTCGAAAAAATTTTTTTATTTGTCCTAACATTGTGTCTGTCTGTCCGCAGTTTGATCTCGAGAATTTATCAATGATTATATATAGAAAGTAAAGACAGTTAAGTGGGATTTTCTATTCCTTTCAATAAGAACTATAATAGCCATAGCAAAAATTCAATTTTAAACTTTGAATTAATTTTAGCATTTAGTTCGATTTATTAATCTTTAAATTTATTTACAGACTTTCATTCCATTATAAACATTCTTTAATGAGACCAGATAATTGACGATCAGTTGATGATTGGTTCGAGCTGAATTGCTCAATTTTCGGGAATTTTTTTATAAATTTTGGACATATTTGATAATAGGCAATAGTAATTTTCTAAATTAGTCTTTGTTACACTTACCCAAAATTTACTTTTACAGATTATTGCATTTTGATGAGGCGGTCTACCCAGTAAATTCCTTTTCCTCTTTTTCCTGCTTTCTCTTCATCAAAAACAAAGAACATTGCGGAAGTTAGTTGAAGCATTCAAGTATGAACCTGAATTACTTATCATTTCAGGCTTAAACACCATTCATCAAAAACAAAAGACATTCCGGAATTAGTTGAAGCATGATGAACCTGAATTGCTTATCATTTCAGGCTTGCGCATCACCCTTACAAACACCAACGATACTTTGACCAAATTCTACAATTGCAGTCTATAAAGTTTCATTCTTCACATAAATTCAAAGTTCTGTCTACCGACCGATTTCTCAACTCTAAACCATTACTGCATATCAATAACGGAAAAATAGATTGATGGGATATTCGTAGAAAGGACTTAACGATGCAATTTCTGGACTGACCGTTGTTATTATTGATAAATAGTAGTGGACTATGATGGATGATGCATGTTAGCTTCGTTGTTTACATAAATTTTCTCCCACTCAAATTATACTTCCTCCATCTTTTTCAGTTGTTATATTTGCATTTATTAGAATATTATACATATATGTGTGAATACTCTTATTATGGCAATATTAGCAGGGAAATAGATCGATGAGAACCGATAGAAAAGCAGTAATCTGCCAAGTAAAACTTTCTTTTGGTAAGTATTGGTGGATGATGTATGTTACCCATCTATTTTACTTGGCCACTTTCATATGGCTATCTAAAAGAAATAAAGTAAAAATTGAAGAGAGGCGCTAGGCTAGACAAACATTCCAGTGGAAAAATTTACTTTTTAACGGTTGTCCATCACTTACTTTGTCGGTTCAAACATATCCACCATTTTTGTTCCCTTTATGTTTATTCTATGAGTTAGCACTGTTCACGAAGTTCATGTGAGTGGAATGAGTGGAAGAGGTTACGTAAGTAATCCATAACTAATTTACAAGACCAATTAATTACATCCTCTTCCTTCCTTCTTTTCATTCAACTGTTTAAAATTTTCCCAAGTACTCTGCCTGAACATGAATAAATCACTGTTATGCCTGTCTGTACCTCCGTTTATTTGCATCTGCGTCTGTTCATATGTCTCGTTCCGGACAATCGGTCAGAACCAATATTACGATCACTCATAATCGATTATATCACGTGAAAACAGTTCCTTCCCTTTGTGACGCATTTATTGACGTTGGGACGAGCACTTGACCTATTCACGTAGAATATGACATGAACGACAATATTCATTTTCTTCCGTAATGTAATCAAGAATATAAATTCATTTCCTTAAATATGTAAAGGAGAACAAGATGGTAGTACTGTAAGGACGAAGAAAGGGAATAAGCAACGTCTTTCGGAACGGAGAGATAATGCTCTCCGGTAGAGTATTCAGATCGCGATATGCTGTAGTGAGATACATAATGAAGTAGGTCGAGCAAAATTCAGAATTTAATTTTTTAAAATATTTGAATAATTTCAAATCATATAATGGCTTAGGATTAGACGAGAATAGCCAGATGAATTCATCTGAATCATGTGTTTATCATACGGTTACGTGAACTGATTAATCACTCTCACTTGATTCCTCTATAATCTCATCACTTCTCGGTATTCTCTGGTTAGAGGTTCATGTGCTAACCATCAAATTGGTCCAGATGTCTGATCTTGGGTTGAAACCTAGGATTATATCACATGATATCATCTCCTACCCACTCTTGCTAAGTCGCGGAGCTCTCCTCGTTAATATAGCAGGAGTGAAATTTAATTAAACCTTTAAATTGGGACACTGCTTCATCTTGCCGATTTTTTTAGCCGTAATCTTATTAACCGATCGTTCAAATCGATGCGTTGTCATGTTCTCGCCTTTTCTTTTAAATTTTATTCTCGTCGCATAACTACAACCGGATGCCATCATGGTACGCCGTATCTTCCTTCCTTCACTGTTGAAAATCTCAAAATCGTTTTCAATTTTTCTTGATAATATCGAATGTTTCGGACTGGAATTCGAATGTCAAAAAGTTTTTCTGGGAATATCAGTTTATCATAAACTAGAATTAAATTGACAGATTCAAATTCAATTTAAACTTCGTTTCATCTAATTTAGTTGTATCCTTTCTCATGGTGATTCCATCCAATATACCTCCAATTGCTGATTGACCCGGTGAGGAAACGCTAAGGACAGATTTCGTTATTCCTTTCCGGAAGTGCTTTTTTCGTGTCAGCCCAGGTATTCACGACTCCGTTTCATTTTACTTCCATTATTTTTGCAAAGAGAAATCAGATGATATTCAATCATAAGCGATGATAACGCTATTCGGCGGCATTTTTCTATGGTTCCGTTCTTTGTTACAATCACGAAATGTATATATACCATATACACATACACATCCATTCAGCTGAAACATTAGGGCGTTATTAGCAATGGAACATTCTTACCTTTGGAAAGGGCAAAGGGCATCTACCGCAAAGTGAAAGACTTTGTGGTTTGTTTTATTACTTTCAGTTTACGTTTCAAGCATAATTTTTCGCATCATTTGCAGTTTAGAAAATATATTCTGTGCCATTCACAAATACTTTTCATTTACCCTCTTAGATTTGAAAAGTTCAGATTGCACTTTTCTGTCTTACATTACTTTCGTTATTGGTATTTGAGTTTTGGATGAAGTTGATTTACAAAAGAATTCAAAATGGATCGATATATGTTTTAATTCTTCCTCTCTCTATTGTTGATTCATGTCAAAGCTCATGTTCCTCTCTTCCCATCCTTTTCCATCTTATTATGAACAAAATTTGACTGTCCTTTTAAAAGGTCAGGAAATAACTCCTCAATGATAAATTGATCAGAAATGATATTGTGAATGATCCAGTGATTCATGAAAGAGACCAGTTCCACATTTCGTCATTATTAAACTTCATCAGTTATCGAATGGTCCATATATCCAGTTTATATCCAGTTGCTGCATTCAACTCTCCCTCCTTTTCCCCACTGATTTGTAATCAGAATCCATATCATTTATCACACATAGAATCCTCAACATATTACCAGTTAGTATTCGTTATTCCAGGCTACTCTATTATAATCATCTTCCTCTACTTTTGTTTGGATCGTTGATACTTACATCCAGACATAATTTGCATAATTTCAGGTCCCAAAAGTTGGTTTCGGCATAGCGGTATCCAGCGGTCGGGAAAATCCAAATTTCACATCGGGTGATCCGGCAGTTATCGTCAGTGACGTCATTCCAACCGGTCCCGCTTGGGGGCTTGTTCAGTATGTTTCCCTTATTGTTTTTCACAAAACCAATTTTATCTTTAAAAATTTCGATTACATGAGTCATTCATATGCTCCACATATCGCAGTTTTGGAATTCCATTGTTTGAATATTGTGTTCTTGAATATACAAGCTTGAATCTTGAATGCTTGAATGCTTGAATCTTGAATCAATGCTTGAATCTTGAATGCTTGAATGCTTGAATCTTGAATCTTGAATCAATGCTTGAATGCTTGAATCTTGAATCTTGAATCAATGCTTGAATGCTTGAATCTTGAATCAATGCTTAAATCTTGAATGCTTGAATGCTTGAATCTTGAATCTTGAATTCCTATATCCTAGCAAAATTTGTTAGAATATAGGAATTATTGATGGTTAATGGTTAATGAGCATTTTTTTCCTGGTATTCCTTGATTGTACTGTCGTAATTATAAGCCGTTGAAAATTGATAAGTCAAATAAAGTAGTAAAATTCAACCTTCTATTTCTCGTTACTTTAATTCTCACTATTTACTTAGATGCCATTGATATCTTTCTCTTTTTTCCCAACCTTTTTTTGGTAGGAATTGGAAAACAATTCGATTTTCATTTATCAGCAGCTGCCATTAGTGGTTCAACACTAAACTGTTGAAATTTGCTACTCAAATTTCCATTAGCTTACAAGTCTTTTCTTCATAAGTAATACTGCGACATTACGTCTCAACGCTGCTTTAATTCTTTACAAATTTATCAACCAATTTTGCTCATTCATCCAATTTTTGTATCGTTATGTTTCAATGATTCGTTTCAATAGCAGAAAATTATTTGTTCTACTTTCAGGGTTAAAGTTCTGCTGAATTAATCCGATGTAAGATTGATTATCTCCAATATAGTACAACAAAAGCAGTTGTTATCTGACTTCCCACCTTCATTTCCTGATTTTCAAATATTCTTGAAGCTCTCTCTCTTTTGCTCCATAATAATTCCAGATAGGCAATATTTCATCATTTTTATCTTACTATTTCTCCTTATCATATTTGGTGAAATATATTTTTTCATTTTTTTTTTTTAAAATACTGTTTCATGATTTCTCTGCGTCTCTACCCATATTATCATCACCGGGTGACAAATTGCATCAAATATCGATAAGATATGGCCTTTTAAATCCTTTGTTAAGGGACATTTGTATCGTTATCGTAATAGTCTGAATCATGCGAAATTTATTTTCCAACAACCGTTTTTATGCAAATATTTGTTTGACAATATTTCGGTCACCATTAAACATGCCATCTGCCGGAGCCGGTGAATAGGGTGAGGGACCCTTTCGTCGGTTTTTTTTCCTAACATTTTTGCGATTTGATGGTATTCAACTACATCGGATTTTAATAATTTTAAATTTTTTAAATTTCTCGAGAAATACCTGTTGAAAAAAAGAAGACCGAAAAAAATGATTATTGACAAAAAAGCGAAATCAAACCGCTTTTTCTATTTTAGATAATGAATGAAAATGCAATAATTTTAGTTTGTAATTTATTCGACAAAAAAATTTTTTTGTGAAACAAAACCAAATAGTTTTATCAACGGATGGATTTTTAGACATAGTCTTTGAAACTTCACACAAAATCAAAAAAACAAAAACAAAAAACAAACATTTTAAGTCGCGGATAATTTAATCAATACAAGAAATAGCTGATGTGTGTAAAATTCAAATAGCACGAGTTTTTTTTTCTTTTTTTCTAGCAAGATTGTCCAAGTATTCAGGGCTTGGGTGATCAGACATGGATTAAATTAGTGATACTAATGAGTGATCATGGAAGAGATTATTATTCGGACGAACTGTTGCAGGGTGAACGATTGCATATTATCGGCAAACGGTGTAGCACTTGAAAGTGCCGATTACGCGGAGGCAGTAAAGATTATGAAGGAATCGCAGCAATTAAATATGGTTCATCTTCATTGTTTGAAAAATTGAACAAGTAAAAAGTAAAAAATTAAAATAGTAAATTAAACAAGCTCTCGGCTTTAATTACAGCATGAGATTTGCTTGGGGAATCCGTCTGTTGAAATGTATCGAGAATTTCTCCGAGCAAAACGAACATTCGACTGTTCTCACTTCCGGTCATTTCACCGCTTCTCTTTTCCTTTCTTGTATCTACTTTTTTTCCTGATCAGAATTTTTGCAGATTGTAAAACGACGAGTGCCGATGCCGCTTATCGAATATGAACAACGTACGCTAAAGTTCACCTTGTCAAAGTCTCGGAAAAAAGAAGGTGGTAGATTGGATTGAATTTTGAAAACAGTAGGAAGTGAAAACTTTTGACCGTAGCGCGACTTTGGCTACTCCATCACTTAGTCTTATTCAGATTGTGTCCATACCTAGCGTAAGATTGGATTTTGAAAGCAATGACAATTTGACCAAGAATGTTCACGTTACATAGATATTAGATGGCACGATAACGTTGAGTGGGAACCTTGGATTTACAAGTTGTTTTTTGGTTTGGAAAAGAATTTCTAACTGGTGGATGTATGTAATGGCCACCTAGTAGTATGCGTTGTTAGTGAAATTTTTAACCGATGAAGTATACCGGAGGAGAATTGCGAATCGTAAAGTGATTTCTTCCGGTTAAGTTTGGTTTGGAGTATACAGGAAAGATCGGGATCTGCATACAGTCTTGAAAAAATGAACACTTGAAGATAAGTAAAGTTTCTGTATGACCTGTTTGGATCTACTAATGTTTTTTTTGTGATTTCTTAAAAACGAAGCTCATCTGTGTCATACATCAATTGGTTTCAACTTGCCAATTTTGATGATCAAAAAGTTTTTTTCTTCAGAAAGTTTTCTTTTTGAGGACTTTGTAAAAGTGGAAGTTTATTTTTGACTTCAACTTGTTTAGATCTCGTCTTCCATTAATCGCTTTTTTGTCGAATGTATCAATCTATAGGTGCTTTAAACTCCTTCCCAACAGAAAAAACCGAAACGTACTATTTAAAACGATATAAAGCTTAGCATTGCGAACTGCTTCAGATAGGCATCAGTCGGATGCCGTCAGTGCTTGTCTATAGGATATCTGATGAATGTAACAATCTTATTGATGTATAAGCAGCACTTACGGCATTTTTAAAATGTTGGTTTAAAAGCTTTCATCGACATGTTTGCGCCAGTTGTTTGTTGAGAGAGTTATTTCAAATTAAACAAAAGCTTTTTGGTTGGGCTTACTGTGCGTGTTACAAATGAAGTTGATGGTACATAAAGGCAAATTAACTATAAAATTTGCGCCGTACTTTGTAATATTAACAAGTGTTGTGCGAAAGTGATAAATAAAAAGTATGCTGCGGAAGCTATTGAATGAGAAAGTACACCAAATACTATTTGTAAAAAGGATTAAGTTCTGTACAATGAAGAGAGCTTACTTTTAGAACTAGTAAAAATAAGACTGCGATGCATCTGGTTGTTTCCATTTCTGTTCAGATCTATCAAATTGTGTATTGATTTCTTCTTGATTTGTAATCCAAAAATTTTATAACTTTGTTTGCTTATTTAACTTATTTTCCGTGTTTCTTTTCCTTTTTTCTCTCTTTTTTTTTTTGATAATTTACTTTTTTGGCTGACTTTTCCATGGCCTTTTAAATTCTATCCATTCTATTATATATTGAGTTTTGCTCCACAAGTTATTAACTTATTGAGATATAAGTAAATTATTTGTTTCATTGTTTATTTTGCTTTGTTCCAGATTTCGGCATTATCCTTGGTTGTAAATTCTACATTAAAGAAATCACGAATCGTAAGCTAGCTGAAAAAGATCCCGGTTTACGTGAAGGTGATACAGTACTCAGGATAAATGGTCAATCCGTAGAAGGTATCACAATTGAGGAAGCAACTAAATGGCTTTCAAAAAGTCGTGAAAAACTTTCTCTTGTTGTTCAAAGGGACGTGCGACGGGACAGCAGCAGGTAATGATTGTCTACTATAGGAGCTGAGATTGTCTGTTTAGGAATTAGCCTTCCTTTCAACTAACATTGGCAATTGGACGATGGGAATTACTGGAGTCGTTCTTTAAGCAACTGAGCAAATTTAAATACCATAAATACAGAATAAATACGGAAAGAATTTTGGTGGGTTAATTCAATTATTTATTAAAATGCATACAGATGGGGATTGATATATGTTCGCACAATAATCAATTGAATGGTAATGACACATTATTAATGGTAGAACATGAATTTAAATAAAAAAGAGATTCTTTTTGTTTATCTGTTGGTATATCCCACTTTTTGCATCTTTCTCAATTATTTGTCTCTTTAGGCAACTTATCAAGATTGCACAGTTGTCATTATTAATGTCTCGATGTTACTGGAATTACTAAGCAATTAGTGAACTGTTCGGTATGGAAATAATAGATTTTTTCAATTTGGATTGTTAGGAAATTATTTACAGATGGCCGAGTCAGAATACAGTTTATGAACGGTTAGGTTCAGTATCGGGAACACCGCGTCATAGTCCGTCACCGATGCATAATTTACATCAGTCTTTAGCACCGCGATCATCACTCGAATATGTCAATACTTCGGCAATGTCGAACACCAGGTAGACTTTAGATTTAAGTGGAATATAGTGCAGTGAAATTTTCGACTTTTAAACTTTTCAGAAGTTTTAAATTTTCATTTGCTCAACAAATCCGATTAGTATACTTTGTGGTCCTACTTTTTTTTTAAGTGCTAGCATTATTTTTTTTAAATGTTATTTTTGCATTTTTGCAGCTCCAGAATTTATTTTAAAATTCAAATTACGTTGCAAAAGGCTAATTAAAGTTGAAAGGGTGAACATTCAATCATTTTCTTTAGTGCTGGTTAACTTATTGAAGTGGTTTAATATTTTCCAGGTGGTCTCAAAGTGAACGGCAATCAATTGATTATGGAGATTTTCATCGAAGGAATGGAAGTATTACAAACAGTCAAAGTAGTCAAGGCGATGTCGGCGTTAGGACAGTCCGCTTTCGAAAAATTGGCGGTAAGTATACCATGTATTTTGGCGCTATAAATTTTCTCAAATTTAAATTAAAAGGAAGTTTCTCTTGTTTTAAGGTAGTTCTGAGTTACTATTCCAAAAATTTTTATATCGATGAACAAGTTTTCAAGCTGCTTAAATTAAAGGCTATCAACTTGAATTTGAATTCCAGGTAGTTTGGGAGTCCGTGTAATTGGTGGAAATCAAGTTGGTATTTTTGTATCAGCTGTCCAAGAAGATTCACCTGCTGCAGTACATTCCATCAGGTCGGGCGATCGAATTTTGTTCGTTAATGAGAAATCGATGATTGGAGTTACTCGGGAGGAGGTATATATTTTATGATATGCAGTAGAAATATTTGTTCATTTTAAGTGCTCCAAAGTAGAAGTACTGCTTCTGTGTAATGAAAGATATCAATTCAGGAATAATTTACACAGTATAGAACTTCATTCGAATATTTTTTCGAATATTTCAGGCTGTTCGTCACTTGTTGGCACTGCAGGATGATGTAACTATCAAAGTGGAATATGCAGCTGCGGATTTTGAAAGGATCAGAAATGGGCCACTAGGAGATAACTTTTATATTAGGTTATCTTGAAACCACATTTTCTTTCACTTCACTTCTCATATTTGATACTCTTAAATTAGATAATGATCTTCAAATGATATTCTGAATCTTAACAGTGAAGAAATTTTGTCTTTTTGCCTACATATTTTTAGATCCCTAATGTAGAGTTTCCGGTATTGATCAAGTTTAGAGTGTTATTCTTATACTCCTTATATAAAATGATGATGACTGAATCAGAAATTCATTTCAGGACCCATTTTGCCCATCAAAAATCATCTAATCAACTGGAATTATCATTTCATAACGGTGATATTTTCCATATCACGGATACCCTTTTTGGTGGAACAGTTGGCTTTTGGCAAGCTACACGCGTCTATTCTGCTGCTGAGAACGGAAATTATGCTCAAAACGATAGCAATAAAGGCGTTATACCAAATTTAGAAACGTGAGACATTTAAGCTTTTTAGTCTTCGAACCGTTAAAATCTTCTGAAAGCATTTGTTCAATATGCGCAAAGATATAGATTAATTAAGATCGATTCGTAAATTTATAAACCATATGCCTGACTGATTTACTTTAAATAATCTTTATTCTATCGAATGACATATTGGAAACATTATGCACCTCAAGTACCACAAGTTTTTCTGATGGAGTTTCGTTCGAATTTTGAAAGTTGTGAAGATACAATTAATCGTTTTTCAGAGCCGAAAAACTGGCGAAAACAGCACGTGTTGACACATCAACATTTGGTCGTTCTACTTTCTTCCGGCGGAAACTGAAAGAGCGACGGACGAAGTCGTTGACAAAGAATGTAGTCGATGACGTAACCTTTGATAATACCTGTGATATGGCCTTTCCTGCTTATGAACGAGTCACATTGAGGCATCCCCAGTTCCAAAGGTCACTTTAGGATCTGAAAATTATATGTAATGAGTTAATCTAAAATTGAATCTTATGCAAAGTGGCAAATGAAAAGTCTATTCATAGATTAATAGGTTTTAAGGTTGATTTTGGTTAGGTTATCCATATAACATGGTTAACTAGAAATTTTAGAATCTTATTACTTGTGCTATCAGTTGGATGCTCAGAAATCTGTCTACCGAAGTCGTACTGATTGCTGAAATTGTATTGCAGGCCTTTAGTACTCTTTGGTCCATTGGCAGATATTGCTCGACAGCGGTTGCTGACAAGTTTTGCTCTTCGTTTTGCAGGTGTTGTCGATGAAAGTATCGTGCGATTGAGTGCAATCGATGCCGTTATCGCTGCTAATAAGGTGTGAATTGAAAAAACTAATAATTTAAAGCAACTGATAATTTGATAATTTAAGGCGACTGATGAAACTGGATTTAAAGCACTAAAGTAGTAACTTATAAACATGTTGAAGAAAATTTAAAAGCAGGAACCTTTTTTAACTCATTAGTGAATTCTTATTTTTTGGAATATATAACAAGACGTTTTTCCGGCAACTTGTCATTGTTTATCGTTGTTTTAGCATTGTGTACTGGACGTTAGTCCAGGGTCAGTAGAACGTCTGCAGCTTGCACAGTATGCACCTATTGTTATTTTTATTGATGTTGAAAGTCGAAGCAGAATACGTGAACTTAGAAGTAAGGCTGGCGCTGCAACTATTTCTTCCAAAAAACTCGCTGAACAAGCGCACAAAATAAAGAAACATTACTCATATCTTTTGACAGGTATGCTTGAAATCTAAAAGAAAATCTTTGGAATAATTGCTACATGGTTGCTGATTATGTCGGACTTATATCTTACTATGAAACAACCCAAAACATTCTATTTAATCCATTGAGTGGTTGGTTCATATGTAGCTCGATTCACCTTTTTCAGTTGGCCAACACAAGCTTTTAGGCATCTGAGCGCCAAACTGTTGCTGTAACTGTATTACGTTTAGGTTAGATATAACAGAAATTTTTGAATGCAAGATTTTCAGCAACGCTCGATGCAACGAAAGAGGATGGCTGGTTTGAAGCTCTGCTGCAACTGATAGCGCATTTGCAAAATCGTCGGGTGTGGATGCCAGAATTTCGACCTCTCACTAATCTGAATGATGTGATATTGCTGCCTATGCATAGTTTCCAAAATCAGAGTGATTCTGATGTGGACTCATTAAAAGGGGTGAACATTATAGCTTTTTATAACTTATGATTAAGAAAAGGATTTAAAAAATATTAGGGAAATTTTTTGTTTCTCATAATATTAGCGTATTATTCATAGTTTTCTAGATTCATGGTTTTCGATCATCCTATTTTATCGAATAAGAAACAGCTAACAGTGAAGTGTGCCTGAAACAAAATAATAGCTTCACATCCGCCATTACCGCTTAAACCGCTGTCTTTTTATAGTTCAAACGTTAGAAATTGAGTTTGTTTTTCAGGATTATTCAACCAATGAATATTTTACAAGGTCACAATTGCAACTGGAAAACAGCGATTCTCTCGCGAAGTAACTCATTTTTCATATTAATCCGTGAGATGCATTATGCTTCGGATTTTCTCCGGTTCCATTTTTATACAAAATTTGTATTAAGTGGTTTCAGTCCAAGGAAATTTAAGGTTTGTCGAGATTATCTAGAATTTTAGGTCTAGCTTCGACACTCAACTAAGCGGCTACGATACACAATATCCACGACCACTTCGACCAGTTCAGTCACATCTGACAAATTATCCACCATCACCATCACCAGTTGTTGCTTCTTCTGCTGGAATGTTAGCACCAAGAAGCAGTTTCTACCAAAATATCCATCCTTGTGAGCCTTTGTCGCAATATTCCTCACGTGTGCAACTTACACCTTCATCTGTTAACCCTTTCGCACAACAACCACCCTTTCACCGTAACCGTTACTTTGATATGACACCTACAGCATTTGTGCCGTGGGCCACACTACCCCGTCGACATAACAGTCACGGTGTGGATGCTTTTCCAACAGTAGTAAAGGACTCACTTAGTTTGGTTGTCACTAACAGTTCTAATCGACCTGCAGATCAATCACAAACTTCACTAACAAAGTTTGCTGTGTCTCAGCTGACCGCTGTGCAACAGCAATCGCCTACTCTTCAACAGCAACAGCGACAACGAAACGTCATACAGCCTGATTCTCCACGTCTCGTACGTAGCCCTCAAAAGTTACCTGTTAAAGTGTCACCGCCACGATCGCCTATCAGTTTTCTTGGATATCCTACTGTAACAGCACGTGGCACCACGTTTCCTATAGTACCAGCCGGTAGTAGTAACAGTAACAGTAGTACAACGACTACAAATGTCATTGCAGACATTAGCAACAACCGTTGGGTCAACCATACTACCACCTCTGGGACTGTAAATACCAACGCTGCTGTGCCGACACAAGCTGGCTTCAGTGATGCAAAACAGGTTTTTTTTTCTCACCTGTTTTGTAGTATTAATAGGAATGCAAATTTCCAAATACTTTGTTTAATTTGTAAATAATGAATGCAAAAGTGCCATGCAAAAATAGTATGACCTGATTTAGGTTTTGGCCGAAAATGCTCAAGATTTTCCAGTCGGTGGTACACGAGAAATTATGCGGAATCATTTTGAGAATATCGACAGTTCATTACCATATGGTGCCAACAACTCCATAATTGGTGATCGGGATACGATGACGCATTCGGGTCGAACAGGATTGTTTTATGACCATTTGACAAGGTGGTTAATGTTTAGTTTCTGTCATTATAGAAAATAAAATATTGTATGACAATATTTGGCCACAACAATTAGTTACAATCCTTAAAGTTTAATTTCAGTCACCTATTAGATAATCCGATTAAAGTAGTTAAATGGAGAAGGATTGGAGGTAGAACTGGGAAGTCATCCAAGATAAGAATAAATGCGGAAATAAGTGCTGTGGATATTTCCAGAAAATGCTTTCAGAATAAACTTTAGATTTCAGAACGCTGAATGCGTTGTTATGCAATGGTATCCATTTATTATACAGTGCATCCACAGTGGTATCCATTTATCCATTTATTGAGAAATTTCAGGGATCGATGGGTTAGTAACCAAACTGAAAAAAGGCAAAATATGCCATCCCAGATTTTGCATGGTAATTCGCCATTCCATGCTCCAAATGCAGCAACATCATCGTTGCCTAGTGAAGATCGAATGCTGATGAGGTATTAAAAAGGTTTTTGTCTTTTAACTCGTGATTTTTGCTCTGATAGAAAAACTGAGAAATCTTAATAACGAACGCTTTAGTCCCTTCTTCTTTCTCTTCTTCACTGTTTCCTGTTTTGTTGTATTGACTTTTTTGACCAAAGGCTCTGGAAACAAGATGACAGACATGACTATCTGATTCGGTTTAAATTGTTGAATGATTCCATTCTTTTAAATCCCAATGATCAGAACATATTTAGCGAGAATAATGAAACGATGCATAACACTGAGGACAATTCTGTCTTGCGGTTATCGCACGCATCTCCAACGAATGATTTTAATGCTCCAGTGGATCATATTGCTAGTGGTGGTAATGATGCCACAAAGGATGCTATCACGAGTACGGATTCTAATGCTACAGTTATTGAGCATGCGACAGGTATGATAGACGTCCGAGGCGGGAGATTGAGCTGCCCAAAAACTGGCGTGTCACTGATCATTCCCGAAGGAGCAATCAATGAAGGCGTAAGTTTGTCCAGTTCAAATATATTTCTTAAATTTTATTTTATAGATTTTTAGTCTATATTTTAGTGTAGTGGTTCCAGTCTGTTCTTAACCAGGGATCACTTCGGTTCTTTTATTTATAGCAAAAACCATGAGGTTCATAAACAATGAATTCTGTAAATTTGAAAACGAACTTTAATCAAACTTCTAATGTATTAGTTTATCATTGGTACGAATGATCCCCACCTGTTTTTTACTCCATATTTTATTCTCGCGGATCGCCGGTTAAGAACAACTACTGTTTTAGGGCATTATTTATTAGACTTCCTCGAAAAACTATAATCATTTTTCATTTTTAGAAAATTCTGTAATTTTTTGACTGAATCAAGATGCTTGAATAATCTTATAGACTTCTGGAAGAAAAGTTGAGGTTGCTGTATTCTAGATTCAACAAGAAATTTACGTGAAAGTTTGCCGAGCAAGTGACGCTGGAAATCGACCACCACTTGATGAAAGTCGGGGTGAGAGTTTAATGAGTCCATTGGTGATGTGTGGGCCTCAAGATTTGCAGTTCAATGTTCCGGTTGAATTGCGGTAATCCTTTCATACATTTCCACGATTTGTATCCGTTTTGAAAAAGAAACTTTTCCATTGGATTAACTGTCATTTTGAAGAGTCTTTTTTATTTAAATTATTGCATCGCTAACTTTTACCTGAAATTCAGGTTAAAAATTTTAATATGCAAGGTTTGCAAATACTTATGAAGTGTGCTATGATACCAAATTACGAATTGATTTTTTTCCAGCAGTTTTACAAGTTTTCATTGAGTATACGTCAATCTTGCACTTGTTTATCTATTAAAATGCCCTTTTAAAACTTTAATTGATTCAAATTAGCTTTTCAGATTACCCCATTCCGTCTCAAACAGTAGTGAGAATTGGTCATTAGCTTTAAAGTCTGGTACTGGACAGCAGTGGGATCAAGTGGCATTGGATAAAAACACTTCATCGGTTGTAACAGACCATTTTGTTTCCATTAAAATCAATCATTTCTAAAAATCTTAGTAAATATATGAAGTTCATTTGTTATTGTTATGGTAAGCTCATTATTATTATTTTTTAAAATATATTTCCATTATTAATTAAGGCTTCTTTACTCCAGTTTCCGTTTTTCATTAGCATAAAAATTCCTTTTTTATTTTGAATTGTGTTTTTCATATTTACCATTCCTAGGCTTCTCGTACTATTATTCATCGATAATTTTTTCAAAAATACCTTTCATACTGTCACTTTTTTGATTTGTTTTCTTGTTTTTCTCTTTTATTTTTTGCATTTACTAGTGCTGTAATTATAATATACTTGTTATTTGTAATCTGCGGATTCGTTTAGATTCGTTGGATAGCAATTTTCCAAACCCATAAATTTGCAAAAAGAGATGGGAATGTTGTGTTACGCGGACTTTTACTTGTAAGAATTTAAAGCATTTAATTTACAGTCGTACTCTAACTGTCCATTAACTTGGATGAATGTTGCTCTTGTACTGAAATAGAAATTGTTGTAAACTAAGTATGTTGGCACTTCAATTTCAGTTCAGTTTAGATCTTTTTAATATAGAAGCAAAATATTTTATATTGTTCATTTCGACCAAATGATTTCATGGTTAAATTTGTTAATTCGTTGTTTGCGTCAATCCGATCTGTCCGGTTTCCACATATTAATTTAACATATAGAGTTACATTGTATTATTGATTATTGGTAGCGCACCACTAAATGATATACTTATTAAGCAGCTGGCTACGCTAATTTTTCCATCATAAAAATTGAAAATTTGGATTAGGTGAAAGCTACTGCTTGCATGTATTTTAATGGTGTAACATATTCAAATATCGTGATTCTTCTTTCTTTATTAGGTATCGAAAGTAAGTTTTCCTTCATATGTGTGCTAATCTATCTGGATGAAAATGTTTAGAACAGTCTTTTATAAGAATTTTATTACTTCTTTTAATATGTATGTTTACTTGTCTTTGTTATTTTCAAATTATGGTGTATTTGTTTGATTTTTGTTCCTTTCTATGTTTGCTTCAATTATAATAAAAAAAAAAACTGCACTTGTTCCATGTTGTTTTTGCAAAATTTAAGAATCAAATGACAAAATAAAAATTAAATGCAAAACTGATACGATGACAAATGTGACGGTTTGCTTGGACTTTTGTATTGCAGGCCCTTCGCAAAAGAATTATGCAGGGTTGGAGGTTATTTAGTCTTCTTGATCTTTTTAGATTTAATCATTTTCTAATGTAACTTTCAAAATGCATTTTCAATAATCAGTGAGAGGAATGGGTCACTTTGTTTCATTACTTCGTTAATATTCGTTAGATCACGTAAAATCTATGATGACTAACCGCAGCATGCTTTCTGTAACGGAATGATAAGGTTAGTTCTTTTTTCTTCTGTAAAAATGATCAAATAAACAAAAACATCGAGAATGAGACGAGTAAGATTGCTAACCTTTGCTCCAATTGATATAATTTGCGAAGTTTGAGCTAACTATTACTTATTACGAGTGGTGATGGGAACCGGTTTCTGAAGGTCAAAAATGAAATATATAAATGATAGCTTGTGAAATTAATTGATATTTGCATGCGTTAATGAATTCTTCCTCAAATAATTTTCAATGATCATTTTAGATCAGTAGAATGTATCAAATTAGGTATCAGTTCAACTCATACAAATAAAAATCCTTCAGCATCTCCTTTTTATTTATTATATTATACATGGGTCATATTTTGCACACTTTAAGGTGGTGTGTGTGTGTGTGTGTTTGTGTATGTGTGTATGTACGTATGTATGTCTGTGTTATTCATTCGTAACACACTGTGAACTTGATTATTATGATGACGGACATCTGCGCTATTTTTTTTTTTGTGAATTAAATAAGTTCACAATTAATTTCCGTCTTTGTTTTTTGTTTTGTTGTTTTTTGTCACATGCTTCATTTGCTAAGGAATTAAGAAATGAAAACATTCCCAAATTCCTCAGCAAATTGAAGCGTCTCCTTTTTTTCCTATTTCATTTCTAATTGCTAAATTATTTAAAACACTTTTACTTTATTTTAATAATTTTCAAAGAAGGAATCTCCAAAATGAGCTCCTCAATCCCATGGAAGTATAGGCCAATTCAACTACATCTCTTTGCAGGTTTCCATTATGATATCATCAACATTAGCTACTTTGTGCATAGTATTAATTGCTCAAAGAGTTCAAGCATGGTGGTATCCGCCAGCCGGTTATGGTTATGGTTATCATCATGCTTCTTGGTACCATCCTTTCGGGCCTATGCCGTATTATCCGCCCCACCCTTATCACTTTGCTGATATTCATCACATGTAAGATTTACTGTGTTTATTGTTTTTAACAGATTTTTACCAGAAACTTTTCTGATGAATGGCTAGAATGAAATTTTGTGAATTTACATTTGAATGTTTTCATTCACGTTTAAAAGACGTGGAACTATTCCCTTTTCTTTGTACCATCTCTAATAATTACAATTATCATTATCAGGTATTCTACACATAGAGGTGCACAAATCGGTGCCGCAATTGGTTCATTGGCTGCACATTTCGGTAAAAAGAAATGAAAGGAATCATTTGCGTGAAATCAGTGATTCTTGTCAATTCATATTCATTGTGATTCTCCATGAAAATTTGCATATTTTCCTATAATCTTCACCGAGGATGGTCGCTTTAAACAAAGATTAAATTGAGTGGTGACAATGAAATTTCTTTGACTTTAAAACTCCCACTGCTAAACGATATTGCTCATTCTGAATTCATAATTGCCTTAATGATTCAATTTATATTAATTAACATAAACTTAATTGAGGTAGATTTTGATGAATACTCCACCGGAAGACAGGCAGGAAGACCATAACATTTTTTTACTACTATTAATTTACCCTTCACTGTTGCATGCATCTTTTTTTTTGAATTGATGAATTTGATATATTATTTTGACCACTCGAAATTTTTTGTGAGGAAAAAGCTCAGGAAGAAATATTTACTTCCTGAAGCAAAGTCATTATTCCACTTCTCTCAGGATACTTATGTCTATGTCACCTCTGTTTGTCATCCGATCATAACTTTCACATTCTTCTTGCATGTATCAGAACAGAAACACGAATCCTTTATCATTACGAAATTATCTCAAACTCTCACAACTTTTACTCAGAGATAAAAATTTTCTTCACTCTGTTCCCAGCAATAATGAAGCAAGAGAACAGAGAGATTAAGGAATTTTTAAAAGCATTCTTAGAAAGTGTGTTTTAGTCTTCACCTATTTTACTATTCGAGAATTTAAAATGAAATTAGAGCGAAGACTTTTGGTTTTCAGGCTTTTATTCCAAGCATTAATCATTCGAATCTTGATATAAAAATATATCACTATTTCCACCAAGGATAATCAGTAGGCCTTCCCTTCAATATTCTGTCATCCGTGAGTGAGGTTATGCAGAACTGTTTGTGCCTGACGAGCAACATCGTGATAAAGCATGATGCACCAAACAAGAACATCGTGGTACTGAGAAGTAAAAGCATGTTCAGCGATGAAATACACACTGGGATAATTCGAGATTCCTCCTTTATTGCTAAAAATTAACTTGAAGATAAAGAAAGTGAAGAATGATAATTACCGCTACGGATCGGATCTACCATTCTTTAGCTTCTTCTATCAATAAATCTGTTCTGCAATGCGTCACAAACAATATGACATCTTATCACTTGACATAACTGACGTACGCATTTTTGCGACATCAAGCATTTCTCTCTTCGCCAGTTTTCTTTAGAAACTTGTATTCTTTAAAAAGAGGAAATCCTTCGAAAGCGAACGTCTTTTAATTTCTTCGTTTTCTGAGCCTATGCTTTCTGATTTTCACTTTCGCTATTTGTCCCTCATTTTTTATATCGCTTACCACTTCTTCCGTCTTCTTTTCTCAATTAAGTTACCTTTATTGTCGCTTATAGATGTATTTGAAGGCTCAACTCCAACCAGCGGGAAAACAACAACACGTGTCGTAAGATCCGTTTCAGCAACTCTCATTTGCGGAGCAGCCATTTTTGGTAGCTTCAAATTATTGTTGAGAACAATTCCTCTTCGAGCTCGTAATTCACGAGGTATTGCGTTACTTTTCAAGAAACTAAAGAATTGCATGTCTTGAAATTAGAAATGAAGAAATTTCACAAGAAAAAATTTAATCTTACGTGATTTCATCAGTCCTCAAAAACAGAAGTCATTTTCTGATTGCTTGCGACTCACTTAAATTTTAGTGGTGATTCTATTGCTGGCGGTAGCGTGACATGCAAATTTCTTTTAATTTCCTTGCGAGCAGTGTCGATTGATCCAAAAAATTCCTTTTCGGTCTCTGAAATTAGTCCACAATTGTAATAGGAACTACTTATCACTCATGATAACTGTCGTATCGATAGTCTTCGTTATTATTGTGAATGATGATCACTTAAACGCTTGGATCCTGATCTAGGAATTAAGAATCAGTGAAGTACTGTCGATAAATGATAAGGAGAGTGAAAAAGGAGCCAAGTTAAAAGGATATGAGACTAATGGAAGTAAAGTGAAATAGTGAAATATAATTATAATTATTGAAAAAAAGTGAAGTGAAATATAATTAATAATAATAATTAATAATAATAAATAATAATAATAATAATAATAACAATAGCAATAATAATAATAATAATAATAATAACAATAATAATAATTAATAATAATAATAATAATAATAGTAAT